AAGAAAAGGCTCATCTACTTGTACCACTGCCAGATGTTTGGGCACAGGTAGATTACTATTCACCTGTACAGGTGATTAACTACAAAGCTGAAGTTTAGATAACCTGTACTGAACTTTGAAAATCAAGAAGCCTGAAAGAGGCCTGGAAGTTGGCCAAGACGGTTTTGGCATTTTTTCCACTTCAGTTAATTTTTCATAAATCTTAATCATAATATTGAGAAGTATAGAAACCCATTATTTTTGTGCCAATGCTCAAATGATCTGGCCTAGTTATGGGTAAGAAAACTTAATGCAAACCATGAAGAATGCAAAGATTGTTCAAAGAGATAGAAAATCAGAATATAAATAAGCTACTTAGCACGGTTTATGCAAAATACATGTTACTTTGCTAATGAGATTACAAGTCTGTTTGATAAAGTCAACCACAGCTTCAATACACCTAAAAGTCCTAAGGCATTTGAATCAATAGCACAAGATGTGCTCATTAAAAAGTAATCACTTTTCTATATCAATAGAACACACAAGTAATGAATCAGGAATTGCTGCAGGGATCTTAAAAGTCATATCCACAGGGTAGCTACTACAGCGCTTCTGGTGAGGGGATGGTTACACATTTGGCAGCAAAGCTGTTTACAAACTCAACCAGAAAATGGATCCAATTTCACAATAATCTTATTAACACTTTCCCTCAAACCCCAGAAACAGTTTATGCAGCTTTTCAGCTGGATCAATAACTTGAAGCAATTTACACTATGAAGACACAAATACTTGTATCAGAAAAGCAACAAAGTAGAAAATCAGCAAAGAAGGAGAGGGGGAAAAAAACCCTTCAGGTAGAAACTAATATAAAATCAGCACTTCTCAAAGGTGCAGATAATCAAAGTTAATGCTAAGCAGTAAGGAGAAGTAATAAGCAGTTAGGTTGTATGATCTGGATCATTCGTTAAAGGCTGGGTATATCATGACACAAGCCATTATAACATTTCCAAACAAAAAATTTTCCATCTACAAACAAGCTTAAAAGGTCATCTCTAAAACTTGCCCTGGGCAACCACAATCCTGAAGAGGACTGAGACTGAGAGTAGGTGTGTTCTCCAAGTGCCTCCAAGTGCTCTAGCAATCAGGGGCCCACAAGCCTGCCTAATGAGTGAAAAACTGATTAGCAAGTGGGAACAAAGACATGAATTTACCCCTAGGAGTGTCACAGGTGACACTGTTATGAGATTGCAACTGTCAGGGTGCCCACACTTCAAAAGATACCTCTAAAAATTAGACAAAGCACAGAAAACCTGAAAGGAAGTTTCAAGGATGGGCAAACCCCCCATTATTTCCTGCTGTAAGGAATTAAGAATGGGTAGCTTAACAGGAAAGAGATTGAGACCTGACACTGCAAGGCATAAGTACTTTCACAGGGGAAAAGTAACAGGTCTCCCAAAACTCCCTGATGCACTGAGGAAGGCGCAGGCAGAAGAAGTGGCTGAAAGCAGAACCATGGAAAACCCTAAACTAGACGTGAAGTGAGTGTTTTACATCATGAACAGGCATGGAAAGAGACAGATGATTATCTGTCTCCTGATGTTTTCAAACAAAGGCTAAGTGCTTTTTGGGAAAACAAGCCTCAATCAATTTATTGGATTCTGCAAAGGACATAGAAGGAAATGAAATTGCCTGTAATAATAAAGATATCAAACTACCCAATCTAATAACCTTTATTGAATTTCTGTTGGAAAGGAGAATAGACAATTTTGATGTTTTAGCAGAACATCCAGGATAAAGATAGATCTAAATGCACATTTAGCATTTAGATTTAATAACCTTAATATACATTTCAGGAAACCTTGTGCATTGATAGTCCTGGGAACTAAAGCTCTTTTTCATCCAAAATGTGGTTTCTGAGCAGTGTAAGCCTACCAATTTACCAACAGGCTTACCCAGCTTACCAACATCCATCCTGGGCTAGGGACACCTCTGGGAATATCCAGTCCTCTGGGGCCAGTTCCAACCCTGGCTCAGGAAGGAACAAGAGTTTTGACTCACTGGTGTGTGCTGGAAGCCTCTGTCCTTACTGGGCCAGGACCAAACTCCTGCTTCCTCCTTCCACCATAATGATAGAAATACCGATTTTTTACAAAGAAGTTTCAGTCTCACAGCAAATTTTACAGTGTCTTCTCTAAGAAAGTGCAACCTCAGCTCTGCCAGGTCATCTGCTGTGCACGTTGGCAATTTGCCTGTACCACAAGTGAGCATCCTGGCTTCTGCCCAAAAGGCTCTTGAGCACCTGCAATAACCAGGTTTTCTTTATTTATTGTGGTTCAGTTTTCACAGGCACGTCTTACTTTTCCCCCTCAACACCAATAGTTCCTTCTTTGCCTTTTTGTATTTCCTACTAAAGCCATCTAGAAATTTTAAGAGAACATTTGCCTTTGGAAACTGTGATTGAAACGAAATATTCAACAAGAATGTGTGTGAAAATATGTGTCCTTAATACACACACACACATAAAGATGAGCAGTAAAAGTAATTTCTTCCAACAAGGTAGGTGTGATGTTCATAATTTCTGGTGTTAGTTGGCAAGTTTGGAAAACAGAAAGTCATTTGAAGTTTGAATTAATTCATTCGTGCAAATCACATTTCGTGCAAATAATCAAAATGACACAGCTGAAATAAGAGTTTTATTGGCTGTAAAATTAATGTTCCTTAAATTCCTTCTCACAGGAAATTAAGATTCTGATTCAAGCCTAAAGGAAAACTTTGAAACAGCTGAAAACCCTGTTAACAATAAAGCAAACTTTGGGCAGGCCCGCCCTGCAGTGCCATAGGGGTAACAAGCAATCCTTTCTGTTTTTCCAGAGGGTGAAAAGTCAGTGACAAGTTCACAAAGCCCATGAATCCATCTATTTTCCCAAACGCACCCAAGCTTCACAGATCAGCCAGGAACCCGTATGTTCCTGTGTTAGTAATCCACACCTGGCCCACATTCCCCAGTTTTCCTCTGGCCGTGGCATCTCTGCTGCAAACCCCACTGCCTGCCCAGCAGCTGAGCTCCCCTTGGCCTTACCAAACCATCCCAGCCAACCCAGGTAGGAAATGAGCTGCCTTCATGGCAAATACATGTTTGATCTCATTTCTACTGCATTTGTCCTGCTTCAATAAGGAAAATTGCTGCACTGAGCAGCCACGAGCCAAGTTTTGTTCTCACTGCTGAGACCAGAGCTGGCAGCTGCCATTTCACAAGGAGTTTGTACAAATGTGGAGGGTTGAGAACTTTCTTATTCTTCCTGGGCAGAAATTAATCACTTCCAATCCATCAGCTGCCAGATCCACCAGAGGAAGGTGTGACAAGAATTCAAGCCGCTTAGTTCATCTCCCCTGCCTTGCATTTGACAGAGAGAAAATGTATCACAGGCACACAAAGCAACTCAATTTTTAAAAATCCAGGTGAGTGTTTTGTCCCTGTATGCAGGTATTTAGCACCCATAAACATCATTATGGCCTGTAACAGGCAAACCAAAGAGAAGTATCCCCTGGTTCATTTTGTAATGTCACAGTGCCCAGACAGTCACAGACTTCACTCTCAAAGACTGAGCTCTCTGATTACTCAAGATATTTTTATATAAGAACATCAGTTAGGAAGGAATTTTAAAAATATTCCAGAAGAGAGTTCATCAAATACTGCAACTGTTTTGCAAACCCGAACAATAACAATTACAATAGTGTAAAAAAAATGAATTAACTTTTCATGCACAAAGAAAAAAAGTCTAAGGAATTTATTGATCACAGCTGACAGGTACCAATTCAAGGAAGGAATTGTCTGGCAACAGATGGGCCTATAATAATATTAATATCTTCACCATCTGGATTTTAATCCATGCTTTTCATGAGTAGATCATAAAGCACTTTATGAATGAGGTCAAACATCTTGTAGGAAAAGGCAGAATAAGATACAATGGTTAGAAGCTGAAGCTGAACAAGGACAAGCAAGAAATAAAACACATTCCATTTGCTCTTTTATCAATTACAACAGCAGGTAATTAACAGAAGAAGGAATTCAGCTGCAAACATTATATTCTCCATCACTTGTTAAAAAGAGAGGACCTCAAATATTTTACAGTTCAAAAAAATTGCAAACTTCAAATACTTTTTAGATGAGGTTGTTTGCCTCTTGAAAACAATAGGTGAAGAAAACAAGGTGAACACAGAAATACCTCTTTCCCCTGAAAATCTAAAAATACACTGCATTTCCCCTTGGTTCCAGCCTACCCAACTAGTGAAGCAAACCTTGTAGAGTCTTTCTGGATTCTTGGACAGAACTGCTCACAATGTGGTTGCAAACCTGAAGGTGTAGAGATCTATAAAATGACTAATCATCTTTTAAAAAATTGATTAGGAAGATCAATGCATGCAAGGTACAGTATTACCATACGCTGATGACCAGAGGGGAAAAACAGAACTACTTGAACATTTCAAAGAATGTTCACTTGAATCCTCTGGCACATCTGACTCCCCAAAATAATACATTTTCAACTTTACTAGGAAAAAAACCTTCCTGAGTTTCACTGTCCAGCACTGCTCTTTGGAAAGAATGCTGCTGGTACAGCATCACCACAGTCATTTGCTTCTTGTCTCAGTGGTTTGGTCTGAAAACTCTGAAGAGTTGAGACCACACGTGTGCCAGTGTGGAATGCACAGCAGGATTCTCACCCCGAGTGAGCATTTGAGATATACTGTAAAATTAATAATATATATAGGAAGAGGGTGCTTTTATTCAGAACGGCCTGTAGTGTATTAGCAGATGACAGACTGCTCAAAAGGCAGCAGCAGCCTCACACAGTGAGCCCTGCCCAGCCCAACATCCAAAGGTTTCAAAGCCCTGCATTACTTCAATAGACACTTTTAAACTTTGTTGTTGAGTAACTTTGTAAGTGAACTCCCTACTACTGGGATCACAGACCTGCACAAACAAACCAAAGTCCAAAAAGAGATAATGGCCTGAGCAAAGGGCAGAATGTCCATCAGGGAGAAAAGGAAGAAAGCAGGATAAATTAGGTCCAAACTTAGGGACCTTAAGGATCTGGCTTGGCACGGCTGCCAGAGAGGAAAATGAGCGTGGGTTACGTACTGTCAGTGTTTGTGAGGGAGCTGCCTGGTTATGTTCTCTTTGCTGGGATCTTTATGCCTGTGACTTTACTCCTGCTGCTGCTAATTGCCTACTTCAGGATCAAACTAAGAGAAGGTGAGTCAGGACTTGGGCACAAAGACTGGGGAGGCAGACAAACCTTCTCATTCAACAGACAACTTAGGCTTGTACCATTAACTAAACTGAAGACAATCTTGATCAGAAAAAAATTTAGAAGTTGTACTGTATTTTAGACCGTTTTCTATTTGAAAAACACTACAGTTTGTTTAGAACTTGGATTGACCCCTCACTTAAAATGCCGTGGGTTTATAAACTATACCATAGGAGATTTTTCTGTTTTACACTATGGAAGGGGAATGAAAAAAAAGAGCAGTTAAAATATACATAATTTTCTTCTGTGCTTACACTGTGTAAGTCTTCAGTGAGACAGGTAGCAGCAGTTGCACCCTATAAGTAATTGGGCTTTGAGTATGTGTCTGTGTTCTTTCAAAAGTATGTATTTGCTTTTACTTTGTACCTAAGCACACATTTGCCATGTTGCCTTTTCTATTTTAAAATCAGCTTAAACTCACTTCGAAAATCCATCTTCTGAGTAAAACCAAAACAAACACCCACCCCAGTGCAAATGTCCAGTGATTGTAACACATCTGTATACTGAGAATAAAGGATGCTCACAGAGTCCAGCTGGGCTACACTTGTAGCAGGCAGGGAATTCCTTTTAGACAGGAAAATCCTGTAACTCCGACCATCCAGTCTTGATGGGATGATCTTCACGCCCTCCAGATGTGGGTCCCAGCTGCAGCAGCAGATTCACACGTGCTCTTCTTTTAGGGTTCCAGCTGCCAAAGCCAGGGGCACACTCGGATCAGAGGCCTCAACCATTCTGTCTATCAGCTCTTTGAAAGCACATCCTCGCCAACATTGGGCTAAGCTTGTTCCTCAGATTATCTGTCTTTTGAATATTTTCTCCATATGGAGTGTCAGGAGAGCCGAGAGGACAGCCCAGGTTTTCTCTGTAAACTGCAGATGCTTCTGGATGTATTTAGGTGAGAACCCTGCCTGGGACAGTGTTTCACAGCTGTCCCTCTGCAGGTTCCAGCTGCAGCCGAGAGCATGGGCTGGGGCAGCCAAGCCAGCCCTGCCCACGGGGCTCTGGGATCAGCTGAGGCATCGAACCCAGCTGGCCTGGGGTGCACCAGCCCAACAGGAGGAGAATTTACCCACCAGTGCAAGGCCAGGAAAGAAATCTCATTTAGATGCCAGGCCAAACACTGCAATCTGTGCACTCAGATTTTGCTCTATCCTGAAAATTTGGCCACTTAACATAAGAAAGGTCATATGCAGCCAAAAACATAAAATAAACTAACTTCCTGTTTTTAGTAACATCTCCAGGCATTTAGATCCTAGGCTTTAACAGAGGAAAGGTGTTTGCATATGAGCACACACCTCAAGTTACCTTCAGGCTGCTAAAACTCGAAAATTTCCTGTTCAAGATGTGCTTTAGATGCCGAGTTAATCTGCAAGAGAAGCCTGCTCCACATGCCTAACCCAGCCCTGCCTTGGGTTATAGATTATTCTTAGAGCAAGGTGCTGATAGTTTTTCACACACTAATAAAAACAACAACAAAAACAGTGCAATGCCAAACCACCGTGCAATTCAGTATCTGTGAGGAAATAGGAAAGCTAAGTACTAAGAGAGTTTTCTTTCCTGAAAGTGATTGAAATGAAAGCTAATGACATTATTGCATTTGACTTCAGATAAAAGCAGGGATTTTCCCTGTCAGTAAATTATCAGCTCTGTGCTCATATGTGTAAGTCAGACATAGTTATGAAATAATATTGAGTTGCTACTGAACTCTCCGTTACCTGGTGATGTTCTTGCTTTTCTATTCCAGCTAGCATGAAGCAAGCCAGGAAAAGCAGGTGGGCTACTGATCCTATCAGTTCAGGTATTTTGCTGGAGCTCAGAAAATACTTTCATTAAGCCAGATGAGCCTATCTGAAAAAAACCCACAGACATTTACATTCATGATGCACAATCAACTGCTGAAACAGACTGTCCTGCCTTTTTTCACAGCACTCATATCCTCCTTAGATACACTTTCTACAGGTCTGTAAATAATCTACAGCACCAGATGTTAAATTCTGCTTCTCTTAAAGCACAGAAATTTTAGCTTTGGATTTGTAATGAGTTTAAGCAAGCAGTGGTTTCATAAATTTTCTGAGATTAGTAATCAAGGGTGTAAGAGAGAGGTGAATGAGGTAGTTGGCAGACTAATTTGCCAAAGGAATATTGCTGCTGTGCTTCTCTCTATCACATCCGAGAAGGATGCTTGAAGGGAATCATCTGGCTTTTCAATACCTCAGAAAAGGAGACACTCAGTTTGCAGATCACAGGTGTTCTGGCTGGGATTCTCAGGAGGATGTGAGATGAATCCCTGTCTATTCAATACTTTGGGCATTGCATACCCAGCTCTGTACAGCTCAAAGATCTTCTTTGTCTTTAGTTGAGACTGTCAGAGACCAACCTACTGTTTTGGTCTCCAGCCAATTTACACAAAACATCCTGGGCAGCTCTCCCTGTACAAGCAAGTGTAGCCATTTCCAGCTTAAGACCATCAGGTGAGAGAAATAGCCACAGAAAAGCCTGAGAGCAGACTCCTTGAAATGCTACCTCTCCTACAGAACAACAAATTCTGCAGGTTTCAGCTGCCTATTTCCCTAGATCCATTTTTTGGGAAATAAATAGAAAAACAAAACAAAACAAAAAAACCCCACAAACCAAAAAAGACAAAAAAGAAAAAAAAGGGGCAGATTTTTTCATTATTAAATCAAGGCTGCCTACGGCTGCCTTGTTTCATTGTTAAATAAGCATTTAATTTTTTCTCTGTGCGTGAGAGAGGCTCTGCCTAAATATATCAATACATAAATACCTTATAAATAAAACTAAATCATCTAACAAAACAGCACTCATTTCTCCCGAACAATTAGCAATGACAAGCATTTTATGGTTTGGGTTTTTTCAAATTATTTTTTATTTTCTCTGCTTCTCTATCCTTCTTCAAATACTCTCCAAGCCTCCAACAGCACAGTCATGTTCTGAAAATGTTCAGTTCTGTGGGCAGCAAGCATTTTTCTGGTCTGCCTGTACCACAGGCAGCATTGGGAGGATCAGGCCAGCTCAAGGTTCTCACAGCACAGACACAGCTCTGTAAAGCAGAACAAAAATTGCCAGTATAAACTAACTATGCTCTTTGCTGTTTAAGAATTTTATTCTGATGGAAAGCTGCAGAGGCAAATGAAAACAGAGCATTTCTGCTGATGTCAATAGCCCCAGACTCACACTCGGAAGCTCCCCTCTAGGATCATGGGCCAACTAATACCAGCGTGCTCTTTAGACAGCTTCCCCTTAGTAAGATCAGTTCTTATTAATATATGCCAGCTGTTTTTCTTTATAAAAACTCACCATAAGAAATCAGCATATTCTTACAGAATTTTTGTGTTGTTTGGATTAATTTTCAGTAGAGGAGGAAATGGCCACGGCACAAGACTCCAGGAACACCTTCCTGAATCACCGTGGCCAGTGGAAGAAACTCAGGAGATCCGGACAAAAAGACAACAGATACAAGAACTCAAGGACGTTTAAGGGAGCTTCACGTCTCAGGAAGCAAGCTTAAGCCCAGCACTGAGTGCTGCAGGTTTAACCATAACTGGCTGTAAATAAATACCACACAGGAAAAGAAAACTGGAGAGGAGAAGCCAGTGCTGTGCCATCCTAATGAAACAGCTGCCGCCATCCAGAGTCCTTGCAAGTGCTAAACTGTGCAGAGACCACAGCCTCCTGCCATGACCTGCACTGGTTCCCCTGTGTGACACAGGATTTGGGGACAGGGACAATGCCCTGCTCACCAGCCCCTCCCTGGCCTGCCAAGGAGAAAGCAACATAACCAGCTCCTGGGAGAGCTGAGCTGGCACAAACAAGGCAGGCGGCCTTTATGAAATCGAGATGTATAAATAGCAAGTTGATACCAAGCACTGACATCTGGGAAATTGAAAAGGGTTTTGAAGGGGAACTGACATCTATTAGCTTGTACACTTTGGGAAAGATTGTGGGTTTTGTAAAGTATCCTTTCCACAGAATTTGGAAGCAAAATGTAACAGTAGCAGGAAACAAAACGATTTCTCTCTGCTGACTGAAAATGCCAAATTTTGAGATTAATGGAAAGATTCAGTCAGTATTCTGTAAAACAGCTATTATTCTCCTTCAAGGACAAATGGATGACTTTTTTTTTTTTTTTGACACACATTTCTTTTAAAAAATCTTCCCCCCTGCTCCCCTGTAGCTGTAGATGTACAGTTTTCAGTGCATCTCAGATTGCCTGTGGCAGATGGCCTGCAAAAATCCAACTCGTTTGCAAGTACCACCGGCTTTTAGCTACTCTGATTCTGACTCAAGTTTAAACCCAAACCGGCAAGGAATGAGAAGTGACTATCATTACTGTCCTCAGTGTTTACTGTCCTTGTCTGCAATTACCTTTCATTAAAGCTGTTTGTCATTATCCATCCTTCAAGAAGAGAGCGGATAATGCCTTGTCTGAGATTACTTTGTACTTTGCAGTTTCAGTTCTTAGAGACTTTAACTATAAACTCCTTGGAATCATTTTATAGAAATACTAACGAGGCGATGACCACAGATTTACAAAAACACTGTAATTTATCAAAGTCTGTGGAGAAAAAAAGAATTCAAACATCAAGTTCCCTTACACTCTCTCCCATTTTCGTACTACCCAAATTTAAAAAGACATAATTCATCACACTGGCTTACATCTGTGCAAATAACATAAAATACATTGCATAGGTGAAGAGACAATTGTTTGCAATTGCAAACACAATCTTTTGCAGGGAAGTTGAGACAGCTGCTGCAAAGAATTTACTTTCTGCATTTAAGAAGGATGCTGCCTTCTTAAAGCAGTGATTTGGGATAAGGATCAGATGCTCAAGGAATTCTAACATACAGGATCCCAAACACTCCCTCTCTCACAGACCAAGAAAAAACTGGCCAGGACCACATGTAAAAATACAGAATGAAAACTGATTTTGTTAATTTTGTGTCTGAGAATGGGGAGATACGAAATGTCAAGAAGTAGTAACACTTTTAAACAGCCTTCTCTGTACACTAAAAATACTATATACATACACTTTGTGCCTTTGACAGAACTGCTTATTGAGCTGTAACTGCTAACATGTAGGTGGATCTGACATCCACAACTTAGTAACATGCAATGACAATTCTCAGGCTTTGTTGTTTTCAGTTCCATTACAGAATAGTGTTAAGAAATATGTTTTCATGCTACCAGCATGAAACACATCATCCTATTCCATATAATTCCTTCAAAAACGGTAAACACCTATTTAAATAACACCATAGAATAACATCTTCGTCTAGATAAAGTGTACAAGCATTATCTACATACATATGAAGAGAGTAATTGCAAGGAAATATCTTCAATTACTGCTGGCACTGAAGAGTCCTCTGTCTTCCTGTCTCTAGCAATAATGTGAAATTAGGACTCTACCTAAAACCAGTAAGCACATTTAAAACCTTCCTGCCTGTGACTGCATCCCCTTTGCTTCCCCAAACAGAATTTAAATTCTCATCATTTACGCTGGAAAGGTACCGAGAGAGATGGTAAAGTGATAAGGGATTGTGAAACCACTTTTGGCTGGGCAAAGTCTGAAGAGAGTGATTGATAGGTGTCTATCCCAATGTCTGCAGTGATGCTGTCCAAGGATGCTAGAGCAGGGCCAGGTTCAAAAGACACAAAAAGTGCTTTTCGTTCCTTTTTTCCTTAAGACACACTGAAGGGTTAAAATGCCAGCCAGAGAAAATTTTTAAAAAGCAGCCAAAAATCCAGAGGCAGAGAAATACTGATAAAAACTGAGAGACCACTAAGTCTTCAAAAATCGCTCAAGGCTGGAAGAATATTTGGGAACGTACTACTTTCTAATATAATAATCATAGTTACACACACCCTAAGGCAAACACCAATACCCTCAGAGACAGAGATCTGGGGAGTTAGTCACTTAGTCTGGCCCAGCAGAGACATTCATATAGACTTACCTCCAAAATCTCTGGTAGGATTTGCCTCAAACCAAACAGAATATTTTAACACTACAGGAATTATCACAGCATTTATAACGCTTATAATATGTATTAACATTACTACTCTACCTTTTTTTCAAGCGCAGTATGAAAGCCCCAAACAACTGAGCAGCCTGAAAATCAGAAGTTTTAAACCTTCCAAAGGTGTTGTCAGCATTTTATTCCAGCTGTTTGATATCTTCCGTGGCCCAATTAAAAGTTGCTATTCAGCTTGACTGTCAAATAGAAGAATACTTCAAGAAACACTTTGTACTATAGTTCCTCATTGCTTTGAGCAATAAATCATTTGTTTAAAGTTTTTCATTAAGTTGCATGCTTACCCTTTACAAAAGCTTTATCTAGGAAATAATCTGTAGAACAAGTTCAACATCTATTATGAACCCTGAGGTTATCATTATTAAAAAGGAAGATGTATTAAGTGGGGTTTTTTTGTAAGACCCACATGACTCACTTTTCTAAGTGTTTAAGCAGAATTAATTACTGTAATTGTATTTGAAATTGCCCATGTATTATAAAGCTGGCTTGTGAAGTGCCTTGGGAACAATTTCTTTTTTTGCATGGTGTAGTTTTTGGCTGTAGGTATATTATATATAAAAATGTAACAATGAGATTTCAGAATGACACAATATTCCAGAATATTTGAATAATTACATACAACCTGAATCTGTGAACCTTGACTATTTTAAGGACTGATCACACTTAGGTCTTATGTTTTTCTGCATGACAATGGCTGTTTATTTAGTACATAGTTAATCAATGCAAATGACAGCTATGCACAAGCTATGCTGACCTGAAAATACTATTATTTTTCACTGACAAAAGGTTCTATTAGTATTTGAAGAAAGACATATCTCAGTGAAAAGAATATTGTTTCAAGAATATTATATTTGCAGATTTCAGGATTAAATACAATTGCAATTAAACCAATATTGATCTAGTGTCTAACTGATCAGACCAATCCAAAATCAATAAATTCAAGTAATATGCTTTCCTCCCATCAAACGAGATCTGCAACTAATACTACATCATATCAAAAATACCTTAAAGATTTTAATATAGCTTTTTCTTACACTTTCGTAGGAAAAATCCACTAACCCTTCTAAATGAATATGCGTCCATTTTGACCTACATTCACATATCCCAAACTTGCCACTTCGTTAACAACCTCCCTACTCAATGCAGTGTTGTGGCAGGGTTATGTTACCAGGCTGGGTGGGGTTCTCTTCCCCTCTTTGAAAAGCAGAATAGCTCTGGTTTTGCAGGAAAGCAGGTAAGACTGTTATCTGCTAATTCTCCAGGCAATGTGGATGCAGTTGAGAATGTATAGAAATTAACATCTCTGTTACTGTTGTCATATGTTATCCAAACTACGCAGAGCCAGAGCTAAGGAGAACTTCTGTTACACAAGCGTGCTGACAGATGGCAGCCGTCTAAACTGAGAATAGCACCAAAAATACATTGCTCAGAAGTGAAGAAGAATGTAGTGAGAAGTTTTACGATTTGTTTTGTTATCTGAAAACCACAGTAGATCCTATCTCAATGAACTCAGTAGAACCACTTGCAGACTGAGGGGCATTTCAACTTCCACTGTGATGTACAAATCTCCTCTGTTTTGGCAGCTGAAGATTTCTTCCCTAAACTACAGAAATCAGGATGTTTATTGGAAGATGTTTAAAAAACACTGGTACTTAAGTACCAGGCAATCGTGCCACCCTTCTGTCAGCCCTGCAGAGCACTTGCACTAATTCCTGTTTTTTAAGGTTCTGTGACCTGTAGAATTGCAGTCCTCAGAAGTAATCTGCTCACTTCAAATATCCTCCAAGCTTATGTCTGAGTGCCAAAAGTAATACAGAGAATAAACAACTTTATTTTATAACAGAATTACAGAAAGCAAAATATCACTTAATACAACTTTAAGCTACTATATATCTAATTTGGCATTTTAACTATACACAGAGTCAACAGAAAAAAAAAAAAAAACCAAACAAAAACCAAAAAACCCCCCTGCAAGAACAAATTAAAAATAAACCCCAATATAATTAACAGGTTTTTGCCATGGCAGTCTCAACTGATGGTGCTCTCTTATTACTTTATGAGTAGAGTCCATCTTACACCTTTTATTCAGTAGCCTAAAAACCTGCATTAGCCATTAGAGGAAGCTTGTGAAACATATACCTTCTCTGTAACAGAAATGTCAGTTCTAACATGGAGACACAGTGAGGTTTAATAGCAAGCGAGCATTCTACACATGTATCCAAATAATGGAAGTATTGAAATTGGGACACAGTAAGAAAAAAAAGCACTACGGTTTTAAGCTGCCTAGATCATCTCTTGTTGGAAAAAGAGAAAGATACTTTGTTCTTCCTTCTTTCCTTAGCTGGAATGCTGCAGACAGCAAAAAGTCTGCAAAAAGTTGAGCATTGGCACCAAAGTGCAAAAAGAACACAGTGCTCAGTCAGAAGAGACCTGTCTGCAACTCCTTCTCCTCTACAGACTGCAACACCATCTCTGCTCCGCAGAGATGAGAACCTTGGAAAAGAAAGAGTTACAGAGATACCAGTATAAAATTTATCCAAAGAAATATATTTTTCAAATTTTAGCAAATGTTTTATTTTTATAAAAAACTTCTTTATGTGATATCATATATTTACCTGAATAATCTGAAAAAAATTCTGTAAATTACTCCAGTAAGAGATTTCACTTGAAATATCTGAAAAAATCTATATCTAAATTAGTAAAGATCCTCCTTCCTGCACAATTACTCCCTGGCTCCAGTGAACAATGATTTGCAGACTTTTGTTCACTTTCATATAATTAAGAATCAGTTTCAAAAATACAAGTATTTGTGCAAAAGAAGATCATATCCTCTAGAACTTCATTTAAAAAAAAACAAACTCTAAGATTGTTAAGAAGTGGTTATAAAAATAAACAAGAAAGACTGTAAGGGAATATAGACCAAAGATGTTAAAATGGAGTTTGGTATTGGCATTTAAGTTGTGAACATCTGGTCATCGTTGCTAGGCCTGGTGGATTCAGTGGAGTCATGATGACTTGGAATGACTACAGTTCTTCGTGGTCAGTGACATTTTTATGTCTGGAAGAAAAAAATGATGTGGAAGGTTACATAAGCATTTGTAACAGATACCATGTGAATGTCACATTAGAGTCAGAAAGTAACTTCCTCTACAAAGGGCTGTTTTTTTACAGGAAGGGAAAGTTATTTCATTAATAAAGTGTTGCATTGATTAAAACCCCCTTCAGTCATTAGGCAAACAGTAGTACACTTTCTCCAAGTACTCATCTTGCTTTAGAACACTTTTCCCTCCCCAATATTCTCATGTTATTTTAATTGCAGCCGCTTGCACAGTTTACTGAAAATTTTAGTCCACAACCTAGAGCATAAATAAAAAGGAAGGTACTTGTTCAATTCAGTAATCCTTCAGAATCAGAATGCAGTATCCTTTATTAGAGAAAACAAGTCTGCACAAAGAATACTGCTGTAGTCATCATAGCTTTCATTGCCTCAGAAACAGCTATGCAAAATTAATTGCATGACTCCATTGCCTTAGCACAGGAGAGCAAAAGGCTCTTGACAGATACTCAAGGCACTTCAGGTGGCTTTCTTTTGTTTAGATAACTGAATTTTTTCCCCTGAAGTTTAACTGAATGGCATCATCAGTCAAGCAAACCTCCAGGTTTGACACAAAAGTAGCATGGAGAAATGTCCTCTTTTATTCTCTCACAAGCATTGAAGACCAGAAACTTGCAAAGCAATTGGCAAACTCAGACAAGAACATCTGACACACTCCAGCCCTTTGTGAACAACTATTCCACAATGTGCACGTTTCTCAAAAGAGCAAAAAAAAAAATATATATAAAGACAAGAAACAAACAAAAAGCCCATCTCAGACAATAGAAGGAATTCTCTGAATGCTTTTTATATACTGAATAAAATTTTTACAAAGTAGTTAAATATTTGATGAAGGAACAGAATAAACTTTGCAGCTGGCCACTAATCTAGAAACGTGGTGCAAACCCGCCAAGATAATTTTTTCCTTCTGTGACCCAGTCCCCTCTCAAAAGATGTAATTACTTCTATGGGATAGATCACGTTGAACAGTTACTCTGAATTAAGGTAGCATGAAGAAACAGGCACATTCTACACACATGTAAGAGAAGAGGCAATCCCTGCTCCCAAGACCTTTAAATTCACACTGATTAATAATGAATGCAAAATGTGATGGTAGCACATCGAATAGTAAAACCCTGCAATCCAAACCATCTGTTCTGCTGTCTCAGTGTATCTTTCTACCTTAGATCCTGTGATGGAAGTGCTGAAAATATGCAAGGGGTGGTTTGAGTGTGCATGTTTAATGTTGCTGTGTACCAAGGGACCAGTGAAATCACTCGAAGCACAGGCATTCTCCTTACTGCAAACAGCTCTCACAAACGTGATTTGCATTTTTCCAAGCCTTCTAGAACATTTATAATGTGGGGACTCATCAACAGCCCCTATCTCACAGTTCAGTACAGTTCCCTGTCCTCTCCTGTGCTTTCAAACCAAAGCTGGAGCATATGTTATACTCATTTTCAGTGCCACTAAGCAACAAAGCCACAAAACAAACCCAAATGAATGCTGAAATAAAGGTACAGTGAAAAAACAGACATATGTGCAGCGTTTCTTAGTTTTGGTGCTTTTCATCAATCTATCTAAATACAGAGGCTGGTCAGTAAAAAAAAATCAGAGGTCTCCTAACCAAGGCTTAAACCACTGGTTTTAAAAAGTTTACTTCTTTATAAATCTTTCCCATTGATATAACCATTTAACCATTAATAAAACCTTTTTCTTGAATCTGAATCTACCATTAACAAAACCATCAACTTTGAAAAAACCTGAACCTTGAGTCTCATACAAAGAACATGACAAACACAGGAAATCTGAAGCTTTGCACCCCCAAATGGTTACCAAGCTTTAAGACATTAGCCTATAGTGAGTTCAAAGCAGATTTATTCAGTGTTCATCCCGACCTTTCTATTGAATATGTGAAGGAGAACTGTACTGTGCATTTTTCCTTCTTTTTTTTTTCTCAACCTAGAAAGGAGGGCCCAATAAACAAACATGACTTCAAATAGCTTTTTCAACTGATAAAAGGCTTTAAAACTTGAGCTTCCAATACATTTACCTTCTTGCCTGGGAAAATGATAAAAGGCCAGAAATTTCAGTGTGTTTAAGATTAAGGATTAGCTGACTAAACTCAAATGACCAAGTGTGTCCTTTCACTACTGGAAACTACACAGTCTTCCCACTAAACAAGCAAGATGCTAGGCAAGAACTATAATTGTGCAGGTAAACAGAAAAATGTGACACATCCTCCATATTTTGCAGAAATAACCCAAACTCACTTCAATATAAACTCTAACAACTTGACCAAACATTGTAGGAAATGCCGTGAGTGTACTGTGACAAAACTGGGAGACGTATACAGGAACCTCTGCAACTGAAATTAATGTCAGATTACACCTAAGATAAAAATTCTTACACTAATAACTAATTCTTCTGTTAGCACCTGTTTCAACTCATCCTTCTGTGAATGCCTATCTTAAAGATGCCCCATTATTTTTCAGCTGAAAAGACATAAATGCAACAGAAAGCTGATGCCAAGTTTTCCTGTGTTAATTATATACATAAGCTTACCTGAAGTATTTGCTTGAGGGCATTTTTGATTTTAGTCTTCATCTTCCTCAGCAAGTTCAGTTTCTTTGTGCACCACCACTCTTGTCACAGACATGTCAGGGTGCTGTTCTTTGGCTTCTTTGATTGCCTGTGCCAGGGCCTGCACATATATATGAAATATAGAACTTAGCAAAACCAAAAGGACATTCATGTGGGTCCAGAGAATGGGAGAGTACCTTTAGAAAATTTGGTTATAATTTTTCAGACCTGCAAATTCCTGGACTTGAGATCAATTGTCTGGTACAGAAAAGCTATTTTGTGACCTTTCCAGACATTTGAAGTGCACTGAGCGTGTGTCAAGGCAAACAAAAGCCATCCATGCATGATGCTAAGCAGCCCTGACATTTAATTACAAGTTTCAAGAACAGATTCAACTTGTCAAAAGACACTTTCTGGACACAAATCAAAATGTGAAAATAAATTCCTTGAAAACTCCCAATATATTACAATTCATAAGTTAAACTGAAACCTGTCATGATGATTCATGAAGCCTTCATAAAGTTAGAAATGTATTCACTGCAAGGTAGGCTTTTCCATTTGTATTAACCTATGACTTTTGATTGCCTTTGTTACTATACTTTCTTAGATGAAAAAACCTCTTTGTAATCATCACTACAAAGACTAGATAATTGACTTTTCTCAATTATTTTCCTGCATAGAGCTCAAATTCAGCCTTATTAATTGGGCATGTAGAAGTGATTTAACCTTAGTTTCTAAGACATTGTAAGATACTGCTTTAGTACTGATGGAGATAAAAGTTACATACAATTGCAGCAGATCAACAATTACTTTTGTTACACATAATTCTACAAATACTGGCCAAAATCTAATTTTTAAATTCAAACAGTCAATGTATTCTAATGTATTTCAAAGCTTTCAATCAAAATGACCACTGCATTCAGATGCTGCAGAAATACAGTAGACTCCCATCTATCCAGATAAGCATATCAAAATAAGATTATTTCAGTAGTATTTTTCTCCCAGTACAAAAGCTGCACTAAATAAACTGTGTCTCTTCCAAAAAGAGTAATCCCTCTAAAAATAGCAAAAATCCATTCACATGATCTATGATGCAAATTTACAAATGCTGTTTTTCTTTCACATATATTCAAAAGGCTTCTTAATAGCAAAACACAACTGCTTAGTAACTATGCCACAATTAACAGTCTCAGGGTCTTTCTATATAGTTTTATTCAATTTTTCTACCTTCCTTTTACTTCAGATTTCTGAAACATCATTTAGATCTCATCAGACTACAAAACACATTTTAAGTGTTAAGTTTGTATACTCACCTCATCATGGTCAATATCTGCATCTCCAGTAATGACAATGCGCTTCTCAATTCTTGTTTCTGATACTCCACCTTTTACCATCTACAGATGTCAGAAAAATAAAACCAGAAAAACATCCCTGTAATTATTCCATATTTCCACAAAGCACAACCTTCTGTTGCACTGAAGCAAATAGATCCCTGTGTCTGAGTTGCAATGAGTAGCAAATGTGTTCAGTGATAAATCATCCTCTCCTTTTTCAGCTATGCAGTTGGTCACCCTCTAGCAATTGCTAAACTTGATAAAAATCAAGCAACAAAGAATTACTCCAGGTACTAGTGCCCATGTTTGGAAAATTATAATTCCAGCTTCTTCCACCATATAAATCTGGCAACATGGAAATTCCAGGAGTCTTTTATTTCAACCCATCTGTCATGGGCCTCTCCACAATCATAATCCTATGCCATTAAATACAAAGACGATCTGGTTTTCAGTTCTGTCATTCAAGGACCTTCACTGGATATTTTCAGCATATTTCACACTGCTGAATAGTTTTGTGCTTTTTTTCTTCTTATTCTAATGATTAGAATACTTTAGCTTATAAAAAATTCTCACAGAAGTAACATTATTTGCCTTTTAAATCAGCCTATGTATGAGAAAAGAATAAACTACCACTTAAGATACACTGACCACACTAGGAAAGAGGCAAGACGACTTTCTTAAGAACACCATTAGAATATTAAAACTATTTTAGAAGGTTCCTTCATCAGTAATGCAATGTAAAATAAAAAATCAGCTTAGGAAATTCAAACAATCTTGTTACTGACTGTTTATCATCAATTCAAAAAAGGTAAGGATCTGCTGCATCATGCTAATTCCAGTAATTTTTCAGTAGAAGATAAGACTGAAACCATTTTCTTTAATTGTTCCTTCCAAGAAGCAAGACTATTTGACATCTGAATTTGACAAGAAAATGTACACTTCCTAGCAAAACTGTGATTCAATTCATTGAATAAAGATTTTTTCCTAAAATGGTGGTGGCTTAATAAGTCCTAAAAGGAGCAGGAGTTTTAAAAGGATCTGTTGACTAGTCTTTATAACAAATGCATTTTTAACATATGCATTTTTAATTCCAATCTTACTTTATTTCATGTGACTCACTTTCCAACATTATTCTTCCACTCTCATTTTATGCATACCATTTTCAATCTTCAGAATATTTCAATCTTTAGAAAATATATCCAGTGAGCAGTGAACTATTTTCAATTCTGTCATGTTGTAAAACTTCTGTATCTTGGTGGCGGGGGGGAGAGAATCCTGAATTCAGACTTTGTTTCCTTCTTCCATTTTCCTTTACCCTAAACAATGCTTTCTGTAATTTTCTTAGAAAAATATGCTAAGAGTTCAAAGAGGAGTTCATAACAGTGCTGTTTAGGCCTGCCTAAAACATGACAAATATTTGCATAAATTAGTAATAACAGTAATCATTATCAGGCTTTGGTAGTTCTAACACACTCTGGCACGAAACATTACATGTTTCATGTTTTCCATGAAACAGATATTTCCTGTTAACACTGTTTTCCTTTCCTTTTCAAGCATGGAATGCAGAGGAAATAATTCAGCACCCAAACACACTTGCAAAATAATCTAACAGAATGATCTGTTTTAAAATAGACCCTAAACGTAGAAGGAAGATCAACACAAAGTCTGGGAAATATTGTTTCAGTTCATCATGGTGCCATTAGCAGGACTCCTGTGGACTCAGACAAGTTAGTTACTCTAGCAAAGATTCTGTAGCATATCCGTGGATGACGACAGGACTGAAACTGTAAAAATTTAGTTACATAATCATTTGTCAAACATTGAAATAAGACCTACATAAGCTACTGAAAAAACATGAATTATATTGTTCTCCCTTTCCATGGCCTATTCCTAGATATTCCTGCTTATTCATTAGGACTTCTGTCTTCAAAATCTGTACAGAAAGATTTAACTCTCACACATGCCTGGAATGAATCCCCTCCATTTCAAGTTAGTTTTCCTCAATGAATTAGCAGATATACAAGAAACTTCAAGTAAAATTGTGTTTTGAGGGTCAGGTGTCTTTTTTAATTAAGAAAGACATGAAATATATCTTACCTTTGTGATGTGTGTAGTTGTGGTAGTAGAAATGGACTCTGATGTAATTGTCTGTGCACTCACCAGCACGCCGGTATCACCAAGAGCATTGCCATCAAGCTTTAAGAGAAAAAAGAAATTGAAAAAAAATTATTGTATATTGGCATTTTAAAAACTTCGTTTTCACAGGAGAAAAGGCTACTTTTCTTACTAAACACATTCTTTAATTCAACTAGAACTGAAATCTAAATAGAAGCCATCCAAGTTTACAGTCAGGTAAGGCTATTATTACGACCTGCTCCTGTGAAGAATTCATGCTCACAGTTATGCGTTCCTTTCAGGAGCAATGAGATATTTTAATTAATTTTACAAAAATGGATTAAAGTGAGTTATACTTTTGCAGACAGCAACTAAGTCTTTATATAGAAAAAGAAAATTAGAACTTCTTAAGTAATACGGTTTTGTAACATTTCACTTACCTAATTCATAGCCAATGTATAACCTTATCTGCTAGGAAAAAAGTATATGCTTTTGAAAAGCATTTTTGGACATTATCTATTTTAATCTACATAACTGGAATAAAAGTAAGATTGCAAACAAACCAGTCACTCTACCTGTGAAGATTCATATGTGATAGTTTTAGTTTCTGTTTGAACAATTGGAATTTCTTTAGTGGAGATTTCAGTTCTCTGTGCGGCATCTGAAATGGTTACCATCTCAGTTTTCACTACTGGAGGCTGTGATGCAAGAAATAAACAATCAATTCAAAAGACAGAAGAAGTTTTGTAAAGTGGACCAAGAAAACACAACCAAAAGCTCAAGAAAAGCATACCAGTAAGATAAGTATTTGATTGACTTCCCATACAAAAAGCATGCAATAAATAAGAAAAATGAAATGAAGTTTAACACATCAGCCCCCTAGGATATCCACAGCATTGTAGGAAAATTTAAGCTCCTAATAATCTTGTCAAAGTTCAGTGTTTCAGCCAACAGTACACATCAAAGAGCAATTGCTAAAATAAAGCTACAACACATGTATTGAAAATGTGTAAAGCATCACTGTGAAAAAAAAAATCTTAGTTTGCATAAAGAAATGGATAGCTAGATCAGACAGATAAACTTTGTATTTGAACTAATCTGGGAAAATACCTATCACTCCTCTGTCTGCAATCAGAACTAGAAATTCCATGAAAGTTTAACTTTTTAATACTTATTACTTCTGGAAAAGAAAAGTTTCTGAAAACTGGATTTTACACAGTCTAAATCTTCTGTAAGTCAATGACTTCTTTTGACAAAGATTCTAAGAAGCTACTTCAACAAGTTAGAGTAAACTGTAGTTTAGTGGTGTTCTCTGCAATATCACAAACAAAGCAATTAACCTGGGGTCTGTAAGCTAGTGAACTCATTACTTATCTTATTGGAGCAGATTTTAATTAGATTTAAGAACTAAAGCCTTTTGATATTATTCTAGCTGCATCAGCTGCTATCTTATATTGATTTTGAATACACATAGGGTAAAATCCCAGGGGTAAAAACCCAAACACTCTTCCATGCTCGCACACGCAGCTGCTCTTCTTCCCCTTTCTCCAAACTATCTATGCTTTTAGGAAGTGTGGGTACTTGCAAATTTTAAAGGTCTAATAAACTAATTCTTTCATGTCATTAATCAGAACAACTGTTTATGCAGAAGACAACAAAAGAAAGAATTTGAGTTGTTTCGATTAAAAAGAGAAGAAAAAAATTTGTCACCATTAAAAGAACAAGCAGGTAGAGAACTACAAAAAACCCACTCAACTGGTGGAAAACTCAGCTGAGGATCATGACAAATTTACAAAAATATTGTCTGACTTTCATTTTTTCCCTTTCTGCTTCTTTATCATTTGCCTAGTAATGGACTCTTCAACCTTGTTTGGCTTAAAACAACTGGTCGTGACAGGAACCCATGCATGCTTCCTAAGTATCTACTGCACCAGATGACTTCATGGAAACATAGTGATATGAGCTTCACCACTTAACAGTGCAGTGCTCTCACCTATGCAATTTCTAGCCATACATATTCTAGCCTACAAATCCATAACGTTTTATTGAAGGAGATGAAAAAAGGCAAGAAAAGCAAGTGAGTGAGTATGGGGGAAAAAAGGAACAAAAATTTTTGACAGGTGCTTTCTAATTTCAATTTGCAGTAGTTTTCCAATCACAATTACATGTCATGAACTTGTCAAAAACACTTGACAAATACACAAGACAAGACTTAAAACACTGGAAACATGTAAATAATAAATACACATTATGTATGTGCATATAAAATATGGAGGAGATTGAAAAAAAAAAAAAAGATATCTCAGTCTTCGGAAGGTTTGCCTTTACTGGTGATTTTCACTCAGCTCTAGCAAAAAGTCAGAAACCATAACTGAAGGAGACAGAATTTCACTGCTCATCAGTGGTTTCCCCTTCCAAATGATCTGAATCTTGTTGGATGCCAGAAGAAGTGGAGGAATAGGAGAAGAAGAAAGGCAGGTATATTTTCACCCCAAGAAATATCTCTGCTTAATCTAGTCGTCATACTGTTCTACCATTTACCTCAGAACAACAAATTAATTGTGGTGCAACATCAATGTCAACATGAGACACATCTCCATTGAGTTTCAGCTGTTCCTCCTCCTTTTCTTCACCTAAATCTTGCTTAATTTGCTCTGACAAATTCTTCTCTTCTGTAGCTACAGTAACTGTATTTTCCTGGACCAAATCTTCAGCTGTAACTTGTGTGTGCTCAACTGGTACATTTAGTTTACTGCCTTCTGGTGTGGCTTCCACATGCTGCGTATTTTCTTCGTGTTCTTTCCTTTTCACGTCTTCCTCTTCTTCCTGTTCTTCCCTGATGACTTCCTCAATTGCCCTATGATGTGGCAGGTATTCTCCCACCTCTTCATCCTCACTCTCACTACTACTGCTGCTGCTGCTACTATCTGATGGCAATGATGAAGAGTCCTTTTTTGACACGTGCTCCACCTTACATGTCTCCCCAGCATCAGTGGCAACTTGCATTTTCCCTTTGTTGGTTTCGTCTACGACTAGTGTTTCTTCTATCCCAAACTCTGCCTGCTTCTTCTCCTCCACTATGTCCAGAGTCTCATGTGAACTCTGCACAAAAAACACGGATGAGGATAAACAAAAGTAGAGTATATGAATAAATTATAATGATGAAAATAAAATTAGCTGATAGCTGGTTCATGTCATATGGAAGACAAAAGATGGCTGTGATGGTTAACTGAAAAAAAGAAGGAAGGAAAGAATGAAGATGGATTGGAAGAGTTAGAGCCAAATTTAGCCATGGAAAAAAATCTGCAGAACCTTATCAGCATCGCTGACTCCAGTACAAGGCCCTTCTGCTCTGGAAGCATGTCTCTGTGAAACAAAAAGCAATCAGAGGACAAAAATCAATGCATAACCCTTTTTAACATTGCGACATCCTCCAAGCAAGCTTTTAAGAATGTATACACGTGATACTAGAGAGATGCTACATACTCAGTGCAAGATGCCTTACACTTCATCGAAATATTCAATCAAAAGTAGGTAAGAATTATGGAAGTCATTATTGGTGTAAGAATTGAATTATGAAAGCCTGAAAATAAAAAGCATGAATACACTAGCCAGTGATGCTACCGAGGCAGTTATTTCTCTCAGTTAAATCAGGAATTAAGAATAAGTAACATTAAACAAAAGTAAACAGAAAAAATAATGCTCTACTACCAGTTTGCCATAATTTTAAAAGTTGTAAAAAGGCCCTTATTGCAGGGTTTCATTAGTTGTTTGTCTTTGGTCTTTTACTTTATGCAACTTAATGAGAGGAAGACTGCTTAAGGTAGTATGTTGTCAGAATAGCAATACATGATTTCCAAGAAGGTCCTGTAAGAATTCAGTTTGGAGCCAAAAGGATGATATTAAAGCAGCTATACTAGTATTTGTTCCATAACAAAATAATGACGGCTATCTGAAAGCCCGCAGCAAATGACGTATTAGGGTGTTAGGTTTTTTTAATCGAACAGACTTTTAGTGAACAGTCCGCAGAAAAATTAAGAGCTCAAATGAAAAAAAACCACAAGAATCAACACACCATCTGTGACTTAATCCTAGCTTTTATTGCTGTTTACCTAGCGCAGCACCTACGGAGTGTAAGCTGAGCCCAGCACCGATTCCTCCCTGTTTCTGGCGTGCTGCAGATGCAGCTAAGCTCGGAGGCAGGCACGCCGCTCTAAGGCAGGGCGGGACGCAGCCCGGGAGCAGCCCAGACCTGTCCCTGTCCCTGTGGCTGTCCCTGTCCCTGTCGCGGCGGGACCCGTCCCGTCCCCGGCGGGCCCCGGCCCCGCGCCCGAGCAGCACCTGGGGCCCCGGCGCGGCGGCGCCCGTCTGCTCCCCCGCAGCGCCCTCTGCTGGCCCCGGGCTGGCGGCGGCGAAGGGCCCGCTGGTGCCGGAGCCGAAGCGCTCCTTACTAAACAAAATGGAGGTTATCTCCTCTTCCAGGCTCTAGACGGGTCAGAAAAGGGAAAGGAAAGAATTAGACAGCGCGGACGGAGTGGCAGCCACCTACAATGGGAGAGGTCTGGCGAGAGAGAGAGACGTGACAAAGGCAACGGCAGGAGCAGGGGGACACGGACAGGGCGGACACAGCACAGCCGTGCGCTGGGGCTGCGCCTGCACCATACACAACACAGCGACATTTACACAGCGACATTTACACGGACTGCCCAAACAGCACGCTTTACTTAGCTGCTAACCCCGTAGTTACTATTGGGATTTTTTTTTTCCCTTTTAAAATCCATTTTTTGTACCTTCTAAAGCCCAGCTGGATCAGAGCTCTAGGGCTGTCAGACATACTTGCTTAGAATACACACCCACAGCGTTGAAATGTTTAAATAGTTCACTTAGTTCACTTCTTTATAATAAATGATATATATATAAAATACTTAAATATCTTAAGCAAATTCATGTCGATTAAAAATCTGCTTTCCCATTTTAGTGGGAAAACTTGTATTTTTCAAACATACATGAAAGGTGACACAGTGCTTTAAAGCATAAGTTACATTATAATCTGGTCTATTTTCTACGGCTATAAATCTGTATGGTTAAGCACACTTTTGAAGTCCACGTGGATACAAGCCTCTGGAAAGGCTACAATTCTGTATTCCAGCTTTCATTCCACAAGCTCTGGCAAGAAGTTAGAAGTAAAAGAGGTTAATGTAAAAAGCCAAGAACGTACAAATGCATAACACAGACATAACACACACGTTGACAACATTTCATGAGATAGGTTCCAGCCTTCCCGAAGGGCACTGCAGAGAACCGTGTCAGAGTGCCAAGGTGCCATGCACACAGCTGCAGCCGTGCGGACTCGGCAGAGATGTGGAGCACGAACCGACAGAGGTTACACCACGCTACTGTATGCACGCTACAACGCGGATGGCATGCACGAGAACAGAGAAGGGAAAAGAAAAAGAACCCCTAACTTGTTGTTTTGGGTTTTTTTCCCCTACACTAAAATTAAAAGTTTATTTGAATGGTGGCTCAGAAGAGTTAACAGGAATGCAAGTTAATAAATCTGCCTTCATGCAACACTGAATATCCATTAGGGCAATGTGTTCCTTACCCCTACTTTCTTTCCCTAGTTTACGCCACCCAAGAAACATTCCTCTATTAACAGATTACATCAAAAGGCAAAAATGTTCATGATCCTCCTTTCACTGTACTCTTGTACCTTGCTTTCTGATCGCCCAAAGCAGTAAAAAAAAAAAGGCAGGGGGAACCCAAAATCTTTATGTGGTAATTGGTCAGACTGTGTGCATCTCTCTCTATCCCTGCTCCCTCTTGTATGTATAATTAAAGACAGGCACATACCACCCATCTTTTAGCATTTTCCCACCTTCAAATTTTTGGATCTTTCAGTCTTTTAAAATGAAAACCCCAGTCATACAATTCGTTTGACAATGTAACTCCTGTTCCTCGGAGCATTTAGTAAAAGGATTAAATGTATAGGCAGAATTCATCAATTTTGTATCAGCCTGTGTGTAAATTCCTGGCAAATTTTTCTGGTACACGGTCATACACATTACTGTTTACGAGCTGTGGGGGATGCATAAAAGAAAAAAATATTATAGGTATCCATAAAATAGAAATATTTATCCTATTTGTAACATATATATCAATGTGTCAGTTTTTGTTTAATTAAGTCACAGATGCTGTGCACTTGCAAGAGTATGGTGGATCTAGAAGTATAGTGACACAAATGAGATGTACCCAAAATAACATTTTTAGGACACAAAAATTATTTGTAAGCATTTTTGCTGAAGCAAAAGAAGAAAAAGAATACCAGCAGTGGTATCCCTGCTTTATTCTCATCTATTATTCAGCTATCCTAAAGGCAATGATCAACAGGCATCCACCAACAAATAATTCAGGATGGAAATACAGTTTCCCAAACGTCATATTTATGTATATAAGTGAAATAGGACTGCCAGCTTCATATTAACCTAATAGACCAAAAGTGATGTAAAAAAGCAACATCACAATTGCTACTCATCATCACTATCACACTTCTACTAGTCCCACTAGTCAGAGTGCTTTTCATTGCACAGATATTATCAGGGACAAAACCTCCCTCTTTTCCTTAATGAAAAGAGAGGTACAGAAGTGCAGAGGTATTCAGAAGAGGTTGCTTTTGAAATGAAGCTGCTTACACACCATTATTGATTTGAATAATGATTACACAGTGAACACACAAAGGAAAAGTTATTGTGTGAAGTGTCAAAACTGCAAACAATTATTTCCATGTAGAACCAAAATACACGTTTTGCTGTCATCCTAGTCACATCAAATACAGTAATTTTCCAGTGAAAAACTGGGTTTCTTTTCAGTGGCCATTCAGAACTTCATGGTTAGTTTGATGTTTAAGCAAAATGTTGCTGTAATTCATATATATGTGTATCTATACACATATAAACACAGAGATCCTGGTTTACAACTCAACATTTTCCTTTCAGTACTGGCTTAAAAGAGTTAATTCCATCAAGGGAAAAACAAAAAAAAGAAGAAGAAAGAAGTGCCCAAGCCACCAAGCTAGCCCATAGCAGATACAGCGAAAAAGCAGCAGGTTTCAGGGCAGCCACCTTATTGGTTTCCTCTGGTTTTGCTCCAGCAATCCATGGCTGAATCCATTGTTTCTCCTTCCCAGGCAGTGTTTTCACTTGGAAAATGTGGTCTCCTTTTTTCTATTTGGTTTTCATTTTATAGAACCAGTGTAAATCATCAACAAGCAATGAGACAGACATACACTATACAATAAACATGAAACCAAATAATCTGGAATTGACAGAACATACTAGATGAGTAAAAAAACCCAAACCAAAAACCACCAGATAAAAAATAACTTGCAGGGGCCTCAACTTCAAGAGAAAGAAATCAACACAGAAAATACACACAACCATGTAATAAAAATTAAGTTACACTTCTTACATAAATGTCTCTTTCAACCAAAAATATATTTATAGGTATTAAATGAATCACTATGTCATGAATGTTTGAAAATATAACCAACATATATATATCTGTGCATATATCATTATATGTAGAAATATTAAGGTACTACTCAGAAATTTGAGGAATTTCTTGGCAGTAACCAGAAATTAACAAAATAAAGAAGTGATGCACAGTTAGTTGCTGTGTTCTCTGTATGCACATACTCACAGTTCAGATCGCTTACAGATCTTATTGAAATAATGTCCTATTATCAAAAATAATTTTGTAGCATCAGGCCTGCTTAATTGAAAGCTCACCTTTCTGTGGACTAAAAGAAAGCTGGAGAATTTAAGGGGATAGGATAATATTACATCTAAGGAAGGAAGGGTGGGAACGATGGTGATAGACAAGGACAACAACACAACAAACTGCTTTAAAAGACTGATTTACTCATCTACTGTATGATAGAAACAGCTGATAACGCAGTAGAACTAAAAGTTTCACAACAGCATGAAGAATTTGGGTAGGTTTCTTGCTACAAGCATTGAGGGTGATATTTGTAGAAAAACTGTATTCCATACTGCTGTTTTAAGGTTCAGTCAGGAGAGGTAAAGAGAAGTAGATAAATTAATTTTACAGAGAGATTAAGATAGGTAAATTTTAACAACTACATTAAATGTGTTCTGAAGTCAACGCTGTAAGTTAACTGATCACATAAAGTCCTTCTGAAACAAAACACTGTGTGTGTATTTATGCACAAGCTGTCTATGAAGAGGTAAAGATATAGAAAAGGAAGAAAAAGTTCTACTGTCACTGAAAAATTATCAATCTATGTAAATCAGAGTGAAATTCAAGATATCCTTAACATACAGGAAAATGCTGCCATCACTTCTGTTTTCTTCTAATTCAATTGTTCATGTAGAAGAATAAAATTCCACCCACTAATTAAAGTCAGGTTCGATAGTAATGGTAAAAAAGTTAATGTATACTTAGTATAAACAAATATTATATCAGACAAATAAACTGTTAACCTGGAGGACAAACTGCATTTGCTGTATGACATAGGAGGGTTGTATGGAAAGGCATGCAGACAGGTGTGTGCAGTGACATACCCCTTGTGTCTGTAGGGACAGAGGTGTGATACGCCGCTTTTCCCACTCATTTGGGCGTGGTTCGGGTGTGGATTCCATGAAATTGCGCTTGAGCTCACTAATGCTAGCCTGGTGTTTCAGTAAGTCGTCCTGGGTCTTATCCAGGTCCTAGCAACCCGCAACATAAAACAAAGTAGGACAAAACACGACAACAAAAGCAAACTTAACTGGAAAAAAAAAAAAAAAGAAAAAAGAATAGAAGCAACCAAACCAAGAAAAGTGCCTTGTGTCTGAAATGGTGACCTCCTTTGTAGTGCCTCAAAATAAAAATCTTTAAGGCTGTAAGGGATCAATTTTTTTTTTTTTTTTGGTAGTGAAGGTCTTACTCATACACTGTTTCTTCCATATTTTAAAGCAAAGGATAATAATGCTGTATGTGGTTTCTTAGCAAAGAGCTACTTTCATCCAAAATATGACACTACTAGCCCTTTGAAACAATTAATAATTTCCAGGAACTGTTTGCTTTCGGCTAAAATTTGTAAGAAGCATATGTTTCAGGACACTGCACAGCTAACATAACTGAAGATAGCTGTAAGAAAGAATAGTTTCACTCAAGAAGCATAAAAATGCATCTTTCTTGATATTACAAGCTCCATGAAAAATACCTACACAATACTCAAGGCCAAATATAGAAGCAGCTAACAGTAGCTTAGCTTCAGAGGGACAACTTATTGTGCCTCTATGCAGGCTTAAACTTACTAGAAGAATCAGATTTAAAGACTTGAAACCTGCTACCTGCCAATTTTTCTTTTAAGAACCTGGCAGCAGATAGACAAGTAGGAATAGTTTTTGTGCATGTCAGTACCAAAAAAAAAAGATCTATATTGCACCTCCATAGACCAGTACCAAAGGGGACACCACAGCGTGAATACCAAATGAGATTTTGTCATGACCATTGAGGTCAAGCTGCAGCACCTTGGATCAAATAACTACAAGGTATTCTTTCACTTTATACCAGCTACAGGGCAGAGGTAAGGTTCAGGAGCTATGCCAAAATGTAACTGCTCTATTAACCAGACAAAAATGTATATGCTTAGCTTCCTTGGGAATTCATTGTCTTGTAAATATAGGCTGTGATTTGGTAGGAAAAGCAGATTTCGCCCTGCATTCACAATTTGTCCTCCTTCCAGCATTCCAGGTCTCAAGAAAAGCCCATGTTGCTTATGCTTACTCTAACATGAGAATATTTTTTCAGTTGTATTCCACAGCTATATTTGAGTTTAAGTCTCAGATCCGTTTTTATTAAAGAACTAAAATAAAAGACTGAAGACTGAAATGAAATATTATCAATGCAGACAATTATTAAGGAAGTTTTGTCAAAAGAATGTAATCAGAAATAATTATGTAGGTAAAGAATCTGAAATTTTTACAAGAATTTTAAATACTTTTCAGCAGAATGTTCTGAAATCTACCATTTAATTTAGTTTAGGATTGTTATTGTCAGTGATTGCCATGCAAAGATACTTCACATTAAGTCATGAAAAACCCACATCCCAAACTCATTAGCTTCTAATTTCTTTTCACTTGCATGTTCAGCCCCTGTAAGGGTTTAGTGCTGCACATCCATTTCCTAACCTGGAATAAGCCTGCATGCATTTTGAACATTTGAACCTCTTCCCTTCTGGCAACTCAGTAGGTTTGTATTGTCATAGGACCACTTTTCATCCTGGACTAGCAATTGAGACACTAAATATGTCCCCCTAAAGTTTGTATTTCCTGAGTGAAGTAAAATCTTATGCCAAAGGCATTCTATTATACAACTGAAGCTCATAACGATCCTGTCATTATTTTAAGACCTGTCTTGGCTTGACACAAGGCACATTTCTTGGACTTGATCAAAGCACAGTTATGCAATGCACACTTTCAGTGCTTCAGTGAGTTATACACAAGCAAAGTTTCAGTACTGATCAAAAGCTGCAAAAAGCCATAAAACATTAGTTGGGTTACTGCAATTCACACATCTCCTTATTCTGAACAAAACCAAGGATTTTTTTAAAAAACCACGTTTCTGTGACAAAGGGAATTATTTATAGCCCCATCTGGATGAATAAAATAAAGACGCCAGTAGCATTTTTTAAAAACATCCTCAGTTATTAGCTTAAGTTATTAACCACAAGTTAAATGATACTGATAACTACAGACAGTCTCTGATAAAATAATTAAGATTAGCAATCTATATGAAAATTGTTAAAATAAAAATCTCTACTTCAGTGACAATGCACTACACATGAACATATTGTTCAAAGCTCTTTGCTGTTGCTCATCTGCAATGAAAACCAACCTTCAAGAAGCAAAATTTACTTCCATTTGAAAAGGAAAAAATAAAGCAAATATTTCAGAAGATATCCAAACATTCCCTTTGAATATCTGATCCTTGCATAATTTCTCAATGTTCCTAAAACCAGTGTCAGAAGCAGAATTAGTTTTCTATACTTCTACTGCTTGCCCCTTACTAACTCTATTTATTCAGCTAATGTATTTGAGGAAGGTTGATTAAACTGGCAAAAGCTGGAAACTACTCAACAGAAGATGCAAACATTGAGGTGCAATGCACAAAAATCCATTTACAATTATGAATTGCATCCATGTGTCTGCTCTATCTAAATAGGGCTATTATTCCCAGTTGCCACCTTGAAAACATTTAGCAAAAATACACAAATTTACATTCAGTGTTCAAGCTGAGGGTTGGCTGTGGGTATTTTGCATTTGTTTGTTTTTTGTTTAAACTCAGAAACTAGAATGGTAACATGCAGCATTTCCAAGCCGGTTTTCCCCATGCACTTCATGCAGTGTGTCCATAACAGCCTGCAGGTGACCTCCCATCCCATGCAGCCTGGCAGCCCGTGAGAATGGAGAGTACTTTTTGAATTACATACAAACCTCCAACATTAAATTGCTATGTCTGACATAAATATTTTCCCCGTCTACTCTCAAGGAATTGATCTGTGAAATTGAGCCACATAAACAAAACAAAACAAAACATAAAGAACATAAAATGGACCAGCAAGTAAATAAACAAGGACCCTTACAATCAGACAGTTAAATAAAGGAAATAAAATGGCGAGGTGAAAAGGCACTATTCAAACAAAACCCACAGAAAATTTAGGGTGCTAACAAGGCAGGCAGCCACAGCCAGGTTCAATTGTAAAAGAACAACCAAGCACCTTCTGCTGTGCTTCCTCCTCTTCGTGTTCCACCTGTGTGAACGCATGGCAAATTATCAAGAAAAGGAGGTGTTAATGTTGGCTTACAGACTGATACAGAGGCTTCATCTCTTTGTAAATGCTGCAAAGCGTGCTGGATTTTACAGACCTTTACTTTTTCGGCCCCAGATGTCGAAATTAAGCGACTTGGGTCTTCTTGCACCTACATTGTTGTAGAATGGCTGAAGTAATTTTTGGCATAAGTGGCATGAAAAATGGAAGTTTCACACTGTGTCCCTTTCTTGCTGAACTTTTTATTGTTTCCCAGGTGAAAATTTAAGAATGAGTAACAAAGAAAAATGATATGCATAATTTCTATGGTAAGCGACTTAAATTTTGCAACAGAATGATGGGAAAATGGAATCTAATCCAGGAGTTCTTTTGAGAAAAGAGTTTAGGGTTCAAGTTAAATACTTAAACACTGTATTTACGAACTGTCCTAAATTTTAGGAATGTTGTTGTCTTGGGATGAACTGTTTGCACACATACACACACCCCCCCTTGTTAAGTGAATACATTTGTTCTTAAACTGCAATTCATTCTGTTGGTAATTTTCTGTAGCTAATCTTCATATCTCATCTCCAAGTAATGAATGCCTTAAGGAACAGCATTCTTTAAAGAGTGAAGCACTTCCTGGCTGTCTTTCCACAAGTACAAATATCAATTGGTAATCTTAGGAAAAGATGCATCTACAAGTAAACACTGTGCAAGTCCAAAAATTTGAAGATGGATTTACTGCTCATACTGTTGCATTTTGGATTCTGTGTGAATGATGTGGTACATATAACATTTTTATTAATTTCTGATTTATCTGGGGTTCTATTTTCTGTGACTATGCTACAGATTATTGATTGAATTAGGGTACAGAAAAATTGAGAAAATCTTAAAGTCATGTTTTTCATTATTTTATACTTAGACTGGTATTGTAATGACATTGTAACATATTTAGCATGTCTTTAATATGTACATTGGTTTAGCAAACTTTGTTAAATGTAACATTAAACACATCCTCCTCCATTTTGATTCTATAGTATTTGGTTCAATATTTTCTTTGAGGATCAAAATAGAAGACCTTTTTCTGGTGGTATTGCTGTAACATGTGCAGGAGACATAAGGAAAGGAGGCAGTCTGTCAGCCACTCCAGATGATAAGAGCAACATCCTGGTGTGACTGAGGCTTCTGTACATTTTAGCAGTGTATTCCAAAGAATGCTCAGACTTCAATGGTACTGTTTGACATAACCTTCAATCCCAGCTAATGAATGAAATCAGTCTCAAGTGCTGATAGAGATTAATCAAAGCATGTAAAAAATGAAAAAGTGCCTTGGACAGACTCAGCTTCGCACACACCCTTGTATAGATGAAATATCTGAAATCTGGAATAACAAAACACTGATTTTAAAGTATTCACAGTATTCTGAATTCAGTTTTTAGGAATTTCATTTTTCAGATCTAAACAGAACTTCAGAGATGTGCATTCCAGTCAATGCATGCAGGAGACAGGCATTTTAAAACCAATTGACAGTGCAAATAGAACTTGCAAATAGTATCAAATAACATATCTATTGTTACACAGAGCACTTTCATTATTCAGATTTATGTGCTCATTAACATTTTGAACTACAATCCAAGTCCACCTGCAGCTCATTAATGTGGCATTCAATGAGATATGCATGCTGTAGGATATTAGGCAGAAAAACCATGAGCTATCTATTGACTAAAAATCCCACAATGGCAATTTTTCACAAATGAGTAATGCTAAAATATAGAGATATGCACATGTGCATTTGTGTATTTATATATGTGTTTACAGGCATGTACACAGACACACCTCTAAACTAGGAAGTGTGCAAAACTGAGCAAGCCTTGTGAGAACAAGCATAAATGCAATGTGCAAGTGTCAACATTTAAGCAGCAAAATTACACACCTCCTCTTCCTCTGCTTTGTCATTCAGGTCATTGCCATTAGAGCTACTAAAGGAAGTCACCTTAGGCTCCAGGTAGCAGAGGGACAGAGCGAGAGGAAGGGAAAATGTGAGTGAAAAAGGAATAGACTGGAAAGCAGACAGAAGCAGGACAAAGACAAGGAGAAAAGAGGGGATGAAGGAAGGAGAGGTAATAGGAATATAGTGCTGAAGGCCAGGTGGGAGGAAAGAAATGCAAACATCAGGAAGGCTAGGAAAAGTAATATAGCCATCCTCATCAAGCAGCGAACGGAAACTAAAAGAAAAGCATCTGAAGAAGCTGAATGAGACGCACAGCTCAGTGCTTTTGTAGTCATTTGTATGGATTCTTCCCTCAACAGCAGGGGAGCCTCGACTAGCTAGGGGTCTCATAGATTCAAAGGTATCAATTGGTGAAGCTGTTCTGATTTTATTATGATCTGGTGTTTGTTCCATGGAATTGCACTCTGAAATGTCTGGAATGGTAAGAAAGGGCTCTTCAAAGGGATCTTCCTCTGAAATATCTGAAAGCATGTCGATCTCGGGGACAGGAGACAAGTTTGTGAGATGGGATGACACAGAATGGATGGGCAGTGATGATGGGTGTATGTGAGTGAGCTGAAGAAAATAATTCTGTGCACAGTGGAAAATGAAAGCACAACAAAAATGCAAGTTTGAAGGCACATGAAGAGGGGAAAAAAGAGAAATTATTAGTTAGTGAAAACTTATACTTAGAAGAAGGGATAGCTTTACTAACGCAATAGAAATAAAAATAAAAATCCTGCTGTTTTTTACAAGCAGCCAACTTGTTTACTTCTGTGGATTATGAAAGGAACCCATTACAAATGTTTTGTTCTCAGGCTGTAAAGAACTGTGCACTTTTGAACTGCAGTAGTCACTTAAAACAGATGGAAGCAGACAGACATTCAAAGCTTTGGCAGAAAGGTCAGAGGACACTGCAGTACACGAAAGACAAGCTGGCACTTCTTGTGTTTATAACTGTTTTCTTTAAGACTTAAAGAGAACCAGAAAGGAAAAGAAGCATCTGCACTATGGGAAAGAAAAAAAGCTGTTCACAGAATAAGCATGTGTAACAAAACCGTACTGAACAGCTTCCTAGAACACCTTCCTGAAATACTGCCTTCCCCTCCACCACTGTTTTGGTTCAAAATATTGAAAGATACACCACTATGAAAACGAGGGAGAATCACCATTTTACCAAGCCCAAAGGCAAAACATAGTAATTTATTTTACCATTTTTCTCCCATAAAGAAACAGTGTGTGCCTTTTTTCTCATTTATTTCAAAATTATTTCAACTTGCCAGCAAACAAAAAAAAAATGCAGCCGTGGTATTTGTTCTCTTCCTACACTTGAATGCAGTGGGAACATATGAACTGCACAGAGAAACCCAGCAGTCTCACTAAGAATAAAATGGGTAGCTAACTTGCAAAAATGTTTCAGGATAAAATTACTATTTAAATATTAAACTTAGTTCTGGAGAATTGCTGAAATAGAAATGATCTCCAAGAGAGAAAGCAGCAGATTTTACCTGGTACTTTGGGAGGAAATTTTTACATCAAATCATACAAAATATAAATTTAATTTTTTGACCTATTCCCCCAGTAGCTCAAACAAACAAGACAAGCAAACATTTGCAACAGGAACAGATCACAGAATAAATCATACTTGACTTTTCACAGAAATCTATACCTTAGTCCACATACAAGTTTTTAAAGGCTGAAGTAATTCTGCAAACAAAATTGTTACCTATGGTAATTCAATTCAGTCGTAATATATCCAACTTTGTAGACTGTACACAACCATGGTATATTAACATTTTTATTTAAGTCTAAACAAACTAAGAAAGTGAATAAAATATGATTTACCCTTTGAAACATTTTTTTCAAGAACTCATGCAGCCTTATTGAGCATTTAAATTAGATTTATAGCAATAAAACAAACTGTAGGTCAGTGCCATTTAGAAGTTTGTATTCTCTTTTACTTACATACACTTACATTAAGTTAAACACACTTAAAGAAAGCACTTGACAATTTTCCTTTAATATTTTAATATAGCGTTCTGTATGACACTCACAACTGATAGACACTAAATAACCACACATGGACACACACATCCCATGAATAAATAATTTTGGTGTGTAAGTCAGACATACCTTTCCATCCTGAGTCAATTCTAATTGTGGAGTTTTGAGTGGACTTTCATCTTCTTCTCTGCCACCTTCTTTCAACTTGGCCTGACCAGCACCTTCAAGATCAATGATTTTATCTGCAGCAGCCTGCCCTCCAGTAGCAGAGAAGTCTCTTAGAAGACTTTGGTCTGAAATACCCATGGGAGCTATTAGAAAACAAAATAGTTTTGGTTAATTTGGATAAGGTGAAACATTACTTCAAGTGTGGTCTCAGAAAGTACTGAATAGAGAGGAACAGTAATTTCTTGTGATATCCCAGGTGCACTTTTGCTAATACAGCCTGAGATACAGTTGGCATTCTTTGCTGTAAGGGCACTCTCATGTTGACTTGTGTTCAACCTGTTCCACAGGAGTCTCCAGATCCTTTTGTGCAAAGCTGCTTTCAGAACAATCTCATCATGCTCAAAATTTTGACTCTGATGATTCTGTAAGAGTGAAAGGTAGGACCTGAATACACGTGCCTGCGTGCCTGAATTCTGTAGATGATGCACAAGGGATGCCAGAGAGGCTTGATTATAAAACTGTTGAGAGCTGTGAAGAATTCAAATTGTTTCTAGCTAAAAGAAGAAGAGGAACAAACCAGACTCAGTAACACTGATGTGGTGATGGATTTTTTGGTTGCCACAAGAAGTCATCACATGCTATACTGGTGCAAGCACTTTTGCCTCATATTTTTACTTCAGTTCTCAGAAGGTAAGACTTGGTAGATTTCCCAAGAAGGTGTCACAGTTCGTTCATTTGTCATAGTACAGAGAATTAATATTTGCAGAAGTAAAACTCTTCTAAGTAAAAGATTTTTTAAGAAAGTAAGATGAAGTTGACAGCTCAATTGTAGCTAAACTCACATCACTGTCATGGTTCACTTTTATTCCAGTGAATGCTGTTTGTGTATGGCTGAATCTAAGTCAAGCTTCATGTTATTTTGCTGAAGTGTTTTTCTATTATTCATTATTGTAGAAATGATTTTGAGTAATACATGTGCTTCTACATCTCTCACAGACTGCTATATCTACCTTTGGAAAGAATGCCTGTTTCCAATAAAGAAAACCAGAAGGTTTTTCTGCTCAAAAAGACCAAATACCAGTAATGACAAAAAGCCCTTTAGCTATTCAAAGTCAATGTAAAAAATTTTAACAAAACACTGAAGTACTAAATAAATATACTAGGATAGCAATATACTGAACAAAATGATGGAAAACTCTAAGAAACAACTGGTTCGGCATTTTCTGTTTAGAGACCCTCAGGACAACCTAGATCCCAAAAGATGCCACTTACCAAACAATTTTATTAAGAGCCTATAGTGTGTGCCTATGCCTTAAAAAGGTATGAGTAGTGTACACAGATGCTACACACCCAGTATAGAGAACTCCATATATTCACAGCAGGCCATACCATTTAGGCAGTGACTGAACTTAATGTTTAGGTCACCTAACACTGACAAGTACCTAAAGTGGCATTAGAAATTGAAACTGTCCAATGACCTTCTGACCATCTGTAATGTTAACACTCCTGAATGTTGGTAGGTCAGAGTGACAACACATAATGTAACCAAAACGCTGAAAACGTATGTCAAAGTTCACACCTCCATCCAGGCTTCTGGAAACACGTTTGCTGGACGTGCGTTCGAAGTACGGAGCTGGTCTGTCTATGAGGTTGCTGGCCTGTCGTGTCTGTGCCTGCGTACGGCCACTGTAGCGGAACTTGGAACCCAAGGTCAGGAACTTCGCTTTTGGAGGCTGCTCCGGTGATACAAGTCTAAAAGGGAAACATGAGGAAAGTCAGTTTAAAAGGCTTTATTTTAAGTATTTACTGAGGTAATTTGAAGCTACTTATTGTACTTCAGCTTCAGTTCACACTGCATAATTTGTGCTCTCCGAGAAAGGATTCTACTGTAAGCTCTTCAAAGACCTTTAAAACAATGCATGTTATTTCATGTTCGCAATTGGAGTCCAAGTGATGCTGGCAACCATCACATTTTTCCACAATATGACTAAACATCTGGGACTCCTATCTTATAGTGGTCTCTTGGTTAAATTCTAATTTTTTGTAGAAAGTTGAAACCATTATAGGTCATGTAGAATACCTTTCAGATCTCTCCTTAGAATATTACTTATAGTAAAAGCTATACATTCCACTTCCACTGCCTTTCCCATATTCTGAGGTACCAATACAGCAGCTGCTCTTCCTCAAGGTTAGGGAATGGTATCTCAAAGCTGTTTAGAAGGGAGTATCAAGTAAAAATAGATTGAGAAGACTGGAGAGTTGCTATCCAACAGCAACAAGTTTAATAGTCTACATTCAATAGTCTGCGACTACTCTAGTTTTGTTACAATGTCATGTATAAAATTATATAGGTTGATGTTTGCTGGATATAAGGAGTGGGGGGAAGAAGCATATTGTGAAAAGGGTAAGAAGGAGAGTTACATGTATTGTTAATGCTGAATATGTGTATTTGTACCTAAGTGTTGGAATCCTTGTCAGAAAATCCAGAATGGGCTCCCCAGGATGTGGCACTTAGTGTCATGGTTTAGTTGGAAAGGTGGTATTAGGTCACAGGTTGGACTTCATGATCTCCAAGATCTTTTTCAACCTGGTTGATTCTGTACCACCATCATGTGAGTTTGAAGACAGGTCCCCTCTACATCCCTGAATTTCCTTCAGTATGAGGACTTCAAGTTCATACTCATCTAACCCCTATTGCTTGTACTTTGTTGCAACACTGCCATCCCTGCTGATAAGGCAAACAGTCATCACGACAAGAACTCTTCCCAGTCCCCGCTTCTCTGGAAAGGCCTTGGAAGTTGTTTCCTGGATCAATGTAATGCTGCAAATTCACACTCACCCATCATGGCCTGCTCTCTCTCTCTGTATAGAACTATCAGATTATTGCAGACAAAGCTTCTTGATTTGAGAATTTGCAAAGAATGAGCAACTCACTGAACATCAGCTTCTTCCAAGCAGAACCAGCATTTCATGTGCCATTTGTACTGAGGATAGCACAGATGGGCAAGCCAGAGCTCAAACTGTGCTGAATTTGTTCTTCTCTTTTGAAGCATTTACACAGAAATATCTGTGTCAGCGGAATCCAATCCTACATATTAAGGCAGTATCCAGTACTGGGTTCTGAAGACTACTGAACAGGCATTCGAAATGTGTTTCAGCAAAACTGAAGAATTTTCAGATACCTAGCAAACAGAACAGTGAGCTAGTGTGGTGAGCTGACCCTGGCTGGATACCAAGGCTCCAGAGACACTCCCCTTTCTCAGCTGGACAAAAGAGAGAGATAGATGTAAACAAGCAGCTTATGGGTGAGAAAAGGACAGGGAGGCATCATTCACCAATCGCCCTCATAAGTAAAACAGACTAGACTTAGGAAAAAATTAATTTAATTTCTTATCAATCAAATCAGAGAAGGAAATGAGAAGTAAAACTAAATCTTAAAAACACGTTCCCCCTTTTTCCCTAAGAGGGGATGTTTACTGGGGCACTAGCCAGAAGCATGCAATTCCCCATGTCTAAAATGCATATGCATGCACCTGAATCTTAATCTGTTCCAACATTTATAAAGAAAAGAATTCAAGACAAACTAATCCACTTTTCTGCACTAAGGCCACTTATGAACTTCAGGTTTCACTTTCATTGCTTCTATAAAACAGTCTTTCTCCCCATTATTTCCAAGAGGGAGTGCATTATGTATGAAGAAGAAGAAGGCTAAAAGGGTTTTTCCAGTGTTCCTTCAGTTCTTGGTTTTCCAGTCTTGGCAAGGTTGCAGCATTAACTGCCTTTTTTAACTTACACCCTGCTGAGATAAACTTTTAATCTTTTAATGTGGAAAAAACAAGAGAACTAATTACTTCCTGATTAAGGGCATTTGAATGGATTTTTGTATTACAGGTTTAATTACATAAAGTAACTGAAAACTATGCTTTTACTACTTTAAGGCATTCTGAAGAGATGCTGAAAAAATCATGAAAATATAAAATAAAACATCATAAAGTGGAAATATAAGCATGTTTCTGCAGACACTGGTTAAGAACCAAAGCTGCCAACTAAGCTTAAAATTTTTATGTAGATATGTAGTTTGACTGTATTTTTAAAGTAGATTGCTGCTCTTTGAAAATGCTACTGCAATCCTCTAAGCTTGAGCTGATAACAAGTGAATACAATGCCCTTTGGTAGTCATTTTCAATACAGTTAATTACAATTTTATAAATAACTTCATATACTGGTGAATTTCCTATACATTATAAGAAATGGATCTTAATGTGATTATTTGAGATGAACTGAAACATTACATAAGACAACACAAGGAATCTTACTATGTTATATAGGGCACACTAAGAGATTTGAAAGCTAAAAATATGCGTTTAAATTGTATACAGTTTACAGCAGCACCATACACAAGCTTTACACATGCTCTGAATAAGCTACAGTCTCTTGGAGTGCAGCAATTGCTTTCTGCTTTTTATCTTTGAAGGAAAATAGAGCTGGCTTCATTTTACTGCTTTTAAATCAGGATGAGTGGTTCTGAGGATTTTCTCTCTGATGACATCAGTGGAGTATATGGATTTACAGAATGGTTCAAGTATTTGTTACATAATTCTTGTTATAATGACATTCCTGGTTATGAAAAGCCACTTCTGTTGGAATAAAATCCAATTATTTTTATTATGTCAGAATTTCTGTAGTAAGATTATTTCATACCAATTAATCCTCCTGAAAACTTTCAGACTTGCAAATGGTAGTTGTCAGTTTAGGATTTTTGACTTCCATAAGATTTGCTTTTTCCTTATTCAGGTCTATTTTATTACTATAAATCTAGCAAATACATCTTACCAACAAAGCAAATCACTTAATGAGTTATTTAAAGAGTATTAATAAACTTTTCACTGTGGATAGAACTACATGCATGTTATTTGTGGTAATAGACCACCAGCCAAAACAGACTTCAAATTTTCACGAAGAATAGAATGCTGGACTGTGTTAATAAATGAATTCCATCAGCATGAAAAAAAAAATCTCTGATCAGGATTTTGAAAATAAGTGCTTCTAAATTAAGCACTTGGAGACTGATTTGTGCTGAGATTTGCCAATCTCAGTATAAGTTCTACCTCTGCATTCAAGAACATACCACACTCAATGAAAATCCAAATACTGAAAACCATCCAATGAGACAGTTCCAGTAATCATTTGCTTAGGCCTCCTGGTCCCCAAGTTCTCTGAAGTTTTATCTAGCAAGTATATTCAGCAACAGGATTGCATCTACTTTAAAACTCAACTGTTTTTTTAAAAAGTAAACAGGCTACTGGAGGAGAAAGCTTACCATTTACGCATCTAGGTACTGTGCTTTGAAGAAAAAATTCAGATTCAATGCCTATCCAATTCAAAGGAGATTCAACCTAAATCTGTGACTCCTAGGCTGCAAGGGGCACATGCACACCCTCATCGAATGTATGTTGTTATAAAAATCAAATTATATCAAAATCCTTTTCAGTGGAGGAAGTAGACAGAGGAACAACTCTGGTTAAGGTGCTCATTTACAAATAGATCATAGTTCCAATGACCAATTCAGAATTCTGTGTTACTCAGCTGCTAGAGAAAAAATGCTGAGGATGTTATGGATTATTACATAAACAAATAGTCTGTTTAAAGTGATTCTCTGTTCTTTGAAGAATGACTGTGAACTCAGCCTAGTTCATAAATAAGGAAAAATTCAGCTAGAAGCATTTACACTTTGAAGAATGTTCAAATTAACTGAATGATTACCATCAAGCCTAAGAGCTTCTTGTGATGATGTGTAAAGGCTTTCTAGATGGTCATTCTGCAAAGTCGGTCTCTGTGGAAATCTTACCACAAATTACAGAATGTGTCAGGTTGGAAGGGACCACAGTGGGTCACCTGGTCCAACCTCCCTGCTCAAGCAGGGTCATTCCAGACCACATAGCACAGGATTGAGGCCAGACAATTCTTGCACACCTCCAGTGCTCCATGGCCACTTGTTTAGTTCCATCCTCTTGGCACACTGAAAGTTCTGATAAAGCAGTTAATTGTACTTGAGATTTCAGGAACTGGTAATTTGGGGTCAATTATTGTCAGAGTATCTTCTGTCTAAGAGGTGATACTGCAAAGGTCAAAGAAGGGGGAAATCTTTACTTTCCTCTTATCATTTAAAACAAAGATATGAGCATACCTTGCAAAGTGGAGGAAGGAGAGAATTATCATTTACCTGAAGAAAGTATGGTGCTCCACACAAACCTTCCATAACCTTTTAGCAGCCCGATGGTTTGGCAGTTTGAACCCAATAGTGCTCTCAAACTGTTCCAGCTGGAAAGAATCCACAAATAAATTAATCAATTTCCTTAAGCTGGCTATTAATTAATAGGTAGAGTTCAGATAGTTCCATTACTGTATCGAGCTGTAATACTCCTGTCATAAGACTTCATAAGATTTTTTCAAAAATTTCTAAAAATATCAGAATTTTCAGCCTTTTAAAAGAATTATACTTGGTGGGCTATGTCATGATGGAAAAATTGCATGAAGCAACTGTACTGCAGGTTGTGCTTTGCACTTTTCTTGGATTTAATAAAGGTCTGAAATCCATACAGCAGTGTTAAACTTATATGATCTGTATCACTATATAGTATTTCCTTAGCAAAAATACTTCCATCTATGCACAGCATCAGTGAATATAAGAACAATACATTTGCATTAGAAAACTTACATAACTACAATGTTAGTATTGTAAAACTGGCATTCAGATGTCTCTTTTATTTTATTTATTCACACAGTAAAAGCCACCTTAAACAGTTTACAGTATCATCTAAAAAAGCATTACAGTATTTGACATTTTGGGGGTTTTGTTAAATTTCCTGTTACAAAGGGTTCAAAATGCAAACACGCACACAGCCCTTTCAGTAACTCACAGAAACTTTTAACTGAAGAGAAAGTTGAATCCACAGCAGCTAAAAAAGTTGTAACATTCTTCAGGACAACTCAAACCTTTGGTTACAGCCACAAACTTAATGTGCTGACATTTAGTGAACAATTATACCCAAAGAGGAAGAGCAGCTGGCTCTCTCCTGGGACTGCAAGTTTGCACAGTGAGAATGTGGCCAATGTAACTAGCTTTTTGCGTAAAAAAAACAGTAACAAGACAGCTTCTATTAAAAAAAAAATAGATTTTCTTGATTTGCCTTTACTAATCAAGACAAGTGTTTCATACAATCATTAGAATCTGAAGAGGAGAAAGCACTCATAAGCTCTGCTTGAATATATCATAAACTTAGGAGGACAACTGTGGAAAAAATGAGGATGTTTTCTTGCTGCTGGACAGAAATGATCTCACAAAAGAAACAAGACTGAAAGGTGCTACTTACTTCTGCTGGCCTGACTTTGATGTAGAAATTACTTCGCTTGTAGGAAATCTTCAGAATTTTTGGCCAAGCGAAGCGGTTGATCCGGAGTCTGTCTTTGTAAATCAGCAGACCATTAGCACATACACCCAGCATGATATCCACACCTTCAGAATCCTACCAGGTATGAGACAATTTCATAAAAATCACATCAATAACATTCCAAACAAGTAATTATTGCTTGAGGGAATATTGTAGCTGGGACATGTCTCATATTCAAACCTGACTCTTACAATGATATTCTTAAATCAGAAATAGCCAAGTATATTAATTTTATAGGAAGGACTTTGGACTCTAAGTAATAGTTTTGGCATTCATATGCCACAGTTCTGGGAAATTCTTGAATATTCTGGTAATAGGGACTAAGTTAACAACTTAAAAGCAGGAAAGGTATGGCCAATGTGGGTGCTAGCAATAATTTCAACTAATATTAAAAGAAGACAAATGAAAACCAGGCCTGTCCCACTTAAAGCAGTCAGTGAAAGTCTGAACAAGCTGGTGACCAAGGTGATCTTTTGCAGTCGTGTACTATTCCAGCAAAGATAGAAGAGGTAATGTATAGCAGGATCCACAGCTGGTCTGTGGGTTAGAGAGGGTTAATGAATGAGATTTGTTTTGAGAAGTATGACCAAGGCTGCTGGCATGGAGACCAAGAAGAGAAGAGGATAGAAGAAGATAACCAGGGGAAAAAAAGTATTTTGGGAAATGTCCTGGGAATAATAGGGGTGGAGAATTTTCCACCAATGACTGTTATGTTGACTTATTGTAACAAATGATGAAAGTGTAAACTATGTAAAGGGTATAAGAGACAGTGCATTGTTGTAATAAACAGATATTAGCCTTCTGAAATGTAGTGTGCCTTTTGTATGTTGTGCCCACCTCTACAGGCACAGTAATGGAGAGGTTTCTGAGCATTCTCTTTCACTGACAGCATTTGATGCAAGTTTTACAGGCTACAAAACTAATCACTTACTGATATACTACACAATACAGCAGATTCTCATGTCCTCCCCAACCACAGATCAACTACATCAAATTGTCAACATCAATTGCCAGTACTGTCATTAAGGAGTTGCTTCACTGGCAGAACTAAAAAACCAAAATTTAACAATGTTTCTCCAGTACTCAAAAATCTTGGTTTTCTTTTTTTTTAATTCAAGACTGATATGCTTACAATACCTTAAATTTCCTAATGATTTGAGATTCTGGATTTATGGGAGGGAGTGGGAGGAGGTTCTTAGTTTGTCTTTTGGGGTTTTAACTGAAAAAAAAATCCTATTTGAAATGAAAATTTGACTTGACCAACCCTGGCAAGTGGAAAAAGCAACAAAATCCTCCCCCCAGGCCTTCCCCCATATTTTTTTAACTCTCATGGTACTATGAAAACAATTACATGTTCCTTTAGGCTTTACTTTATTGGCCCCACATCTCCTTGGCATAGATAATATGACATTTTAAATGTATTTGTCTGCTCTTATAAATGAAACATTATTTCCAAGCTGCACATGTCTAGGCACTAAATAAACTTATATATAAACTCTACTGTTTGTAGAGCTGTAAATCGAGTAATGATTGTAACCAAGACATAAATGCTTACAGCCAAAAACTAAGCACATGACTTTTAAAAAAATAATCTATAGATATGATTTTTTTTAATACTTAGCACGTCTAACCTAGAACAAAACCAAACAAACCCAATCCCCAATACCTTGGCATGATGTAAATCCACTCCATACATGGAGAGTCTCTTAGCATTTTCTAGGAACTGGGAATCCGCCTGTGCTGGAGTCAAGCCCCTAAAACCATTGAATAAGCCTTGAGTTTATTGGCAAAAAACCAAGAGTCAAAACTGAGTGGAATCCTGGAATTCAGACTGATACAAAAACCTCAGTTTATAAGATATCAATAGCACTTCTGCTCTATAGGAAGTGTTCTTTCACAGCATATTATTTTACTTGAGTACAGATTTCCACCTTCACTCTTTCAAACTATCTATATGTTGCTTTAACTAATCCATATAAAAATACTTTTTTACAAATGTTCTTTACCAAGACCTTACTGCAATTCCTATTTTCAAACCCAGCTTTCTAAACACACCAAAGTAAGAGCTTTTAGTTACATAACAAATGATTTCCGAAGCAACAATAAGTTTACCTCAGCAGTTTTACATATACCCTTATGAGAACTGACAGAAATGTGACAAAGCATGACGACTTCTTTTAATCCCACTCTATCTGACATACCTGTGTGTCTTGTGTAGCTCAGCCACTTTCTCTTCCATTTCTGGAGTCTGATTGGGGGCAAACTGGAATTCACTGATATAATCACTTCGGTGCTCCTCTGGGTCATGATCACCCAGCTCAGCCTGCAGGGTGTATGAACCAAGGAGGGCGTGGGTCACAAAGGAGCACGGCAGTCGGCCAGATGCAATGTCCTGGCGAAGCTGTAGGCACAAGAAATACCTGCAAGACAAAGGAGAAAAAAACAAAAGAGAAAGTAGAACAAAGAAAGGGTTACCTATGGCAGATAATAAGAATACGGCTGAATTCATCACAATGCATGTAATCGGGTAAGCGTGTTTTAAAGTAAGCGAATGCATTAATAATGACCTTATATTATTTGAGCATTATTACCACATAGTAAATGTCACTTGATTTTTAAGAGTCAATATTAATTCCATAAACAACATGAAAAGCCAGAAAAATTCTGATTTCCAATACAAATTATTAAAAAGCTATATAGTTTTAAACAAAAGCTGACTTAGGAACTCATTCAGTTCACACTGTAGCCTGTAGATACCTATGTTTAAAAATATAAGCTATGCATTTCTTTGACATTTCTCTTTGGCTTTGAAACTCTAACTTTTATATCCCTTGCAGTTCACAAGTTAATCATGTCATGTAGCATACAAAAGAAATCAATTTTAGTACCATAATTACCTTTCTTAAACCATTAATATATTAGAATTCAATCTTTCAGATACTGTATACAGCCTTCTACCAAATTTAACAAGTTAAACATCGGCAGACATCCTACCTTAGCAGATATTTTTTTTAATGTAAGCAAAAAAGAAGTCTTACTAGTGCAACTTAAGATTGAAAATATAACCAAAAATGTTTTTATGAACATGCAATTGAAAAACCAACCAAATCACTGAAAATTTTCAAAGAAAACACACACAACTTCTTGTAAATACACTCTGTACTAAACGACTTCTACGATGCTACGAATCAGTCTGCAGGAAAATATTAGCTGCACACTTGCATAGCCATCCTATTTTGTGCAGAAGACTGATCCAATGCAACATGTAGTAGCAACATATATCCTGCCTCATCAGAGTCAGCTAACTCCAAACCTAAGTATTTAGGTTTCCTGTAACTTGTGAAAAAATGGATCAGTTCCCTGCACTCTATCCCCAGTTATCAGCTTTGCAATGCTATTTTTAGGTGCTTAGTATCCACTGCATTCCAAGTATTTTCTAAGTTTGGAAGATAATTATATTTTCAGGTTTTATTATGTTTTATGGCTTTATTTAAAGCGTATGTGTAAACCCACATTTTCATCAGTCTAGTCTAGATTACTACTGAAGTATCTTGGATCCCTTGAGCTTTGCTCAAGACCCTCGTGCCCTCATTTGTTTCATAATAAAGCAGCAGCCTGACAATAAACCACCAGCTTCTTTCACATACTATCACTCACACCTTACGAGCTGCCCAAATCATATCCCCACTTTTATTATTAAATTCTTCTTCCTCAGGTTAAGTTGTCATTTCACCTTTTCAATCTTGTTCCAAAAAGCAGTTCATGTATGTAAGAATATCTACAGTGTACAGTACCCAGAAACTGAAGAAGAAATTCTATGTGGCTTTCAAATTAGACTAACAATAATTTAAAGTTTACAGTTAGGACCTGTGCATACCTAGTGATGTCTTCAATCAACTGTGATGGATCAGGAGGATAAAACTTCACATTAAAGGTGAATATCCAAGGTAAACCTAAACACAGGAAATATCTGATTGTTAATCTCAAATAAGTCCCAGTAAGCAAAGAAAAAAAATTACTGAAAAATGTTAGAGAGGAGAATAAATCTTAATCACTGAAATCTGGAAGGAAGATTTGTTCTGTTTTTTACTGTACATTATTAAGAAGCACAGATTATTGTCATTAGCAGGTAGAGACCCACAGATATAATAAAAGATTATCATGTTAAAATATTTTTAAATAATGTCTTACAGTAAGTTACACAAATATCAGAAGACATTTTTAATTTGAAAACGACCATAATATATTAACACTCTTAAGATATTGTGTGTTCAAAGGTACTTGCATTGAATTTATTTCCAACTCCTCCAAGGCTAACAGCCTCCTCCTGTCTAAACTTAATTTGAAAGATTGTACAGTAACTGTGAACATGAGATATCAAAATGAGCTCTGTGTTGTTATATATAACAACAAAGATAATAAATTATCCACTGAGAATGAGTGGGAGACAAAAATATTAGCCATTCCTACTTTAAAATATTTTTCTGGTAAACACCACATCAAACAATTACAATAGCAGTGACATTTAAATTCTCATGTATTAGAATTGTTAATAACATGCTTTTTTTTAAGCAAAAGCATGCTTAAAACCAGATTACTAATCTGAAAAAGCATAAAATGTTGCCTTTAGTCACAGCTGTGTTTTTAAACGAATTTTTAAGATTTGAAAGCTAAGTCACACATTAGTCATTGAAATACATTTCCAGAATGTTAGAATTTTGGAGAGTAAATTATTTTAGAAATTTGTGTTACAAAGATAAATCATGCTTTGAAAAATGTGTCTTTCTACAGCAACAAAAAAAGGCTGAATGCCACTTCCAAAACAATGCTAGAAAAAAATGCTGACGTTATTTAAGGTTACTTTCTTAAAAAAAACCAAAACCTGTTCTGAAATTCCATATATACTACAGCTAAAGAGGTACATCAGAATTTCTAATGTCTTCCAACATAAAAAAAATTATTTTGGTTTTTCAGACATGGCTATTCACTGAAGCACTTCAATTTTTGTTGAAGTGTGAACCTCATTCTAGACCTGGCTGCTAAGCCACAGCTTCTTTTTGAGAGCTCAGGGTTTTAACGTATTTTAACATTCCCAGTTATCAAGTTTTTGTACAATTTTTTGTACAAAATAAGGCAGGACCCTTAAATGAGGTCTCATTTATCACTGCATTGTCTACTGCAATGAAGCACAAAACAGAACGAAGATAAAAATACCTTGGAAAAAACAAGTCTAACAGTAATGAATACATACATAAAAACAAACACAGTTAAAGATGGAATAGATTAACCTACTTCCATCATCTCCCAGAGAATCAGCATAATTTAATGAAAAGATGCTGATATTGCGAAAACCAAAGTGATGAGTATGAGCAATAGGGCCAAAATATCTATGCAAAAAGCATTCAAGGAGACCTGTGGAGAAATGGATGAAGGATGTGTCCTTCCACACCAGTACTACATCAGTCTTCAAGTTTCTCCTGGCCTAAAACTGCAGTTAAACTAATCACATATGAATTCCTGTTTGAATGTTGCTCTTTCCTGTCAGCATTTCTAAAGGTAATTTTCAGAAAGCACTGCAGCCAGGAGATTTAGGTGTGGTTTGAAGAAAAAATAAAATTGAAAAAAATATATTCTCTATAAAAAGTGCATAAATCCTCTGAGTGTGTAGGCTTTGTGAAAAAATTAATGTCTCTACTCACACTGAGTAAATTGCTAATTTATTGAAAAAATATTGAAGTTGATTCTGTACTAAATATTTTCTGGACACCAGGAGACCATGTATTTTTACCTGATTACTGAAAGCACATTTATCCCCTTAATACAGAATAGCAAGTTTACTACAATGTGCACAGTCTGTATTTCAACTTTTAACTAAAGCATACTTTTTATAGCTGCACAAATGAGGCATATAATCATAGTTATCCTCACATAATAATGCACATTATTGCTGGTTCTTTATAGAGTTGGTAGCCAAGATAAAAGAAAAAAAAACAACCTAAAAGCTGATTTTAAATTGTATTTAGCATTCTGTCCCTGATAAGGCTCTCTGTTTGATGTTCAGTAGTATGGGCTACAGAAATGTCAAAATTTTTTCTAGTCAGCTTGTTACACCAAAAATGCTTCTGTGGCAACTTTAGGCACATTCTTAGAGAAAAAGAATGCAATATAACCAACCAGCTAACAGCATACAATTAACACGATTCATCCTATTTAAACAGGGAAAAATCAGTGAGGGCTTTTTTTTCCAGTAAAGGCTTTTTCTGGCTTTTACTCAAGATTTCTTGTATGTCAGCTTTTGCAGAAAAATTCTTGTGATTACACTCTAGTGTAATCAGGTTAGATCAAAATTAGCTACAACTCTTACAGATATATAGCTAAATACATATTAAATAAATGGATATAAAATAAAGTGAACCTGCAAAAAGAACCTGGGTATTCTGATGCCTGAGCATACCCATACATTTGTTAGCACTAAAATCTGACATCCAGAGCTGTGCACCTAAAATGCAATCTCTTTCCTGATTAATTAAAACTTATTTTAGTACCCCAGCCTATTCTATCCTCAAAACATCTGAACTCTCTCCATTTCTTATAAGATAAAGAACACAGAATATGTGATGTGGAAGTATTTTTTGCAGAAAAATACTAACCATGCTGCAGGCTAGAGAAGATTTAATTGACATAATATTACCTTTGGTTTAAACAGATAAATTCTCAAATTGAATTTTGTATAAGTGTGACCCAACATACCCTCTGTGTAATCTGAGATTTGACTATTTCAAGGTCAGTTGCTATTGCCTGTACCATCACAATATTCTAGCTGTGATTCTCAGCAAAAGCCTGAATCTACTTGAGATGTACCAATTTTCAAAAAGATAGTGACAGAAATGTAATTACCTACCTGTCCCTGAAAGAAGTAATTACAGGTTTTAACACATGCCAGTGGAAAGCCAAGTACATGAGTTAAAAAAAGTCAAGAATTCATTTTCCTGAAGAGATCAGGCTGGCTGAAAGCAAACAAGATTTTTGTCACCTTTGTAGCCCTGAGAACAGAGACAGTAATTTGTGGATCATGTTCATTAGCTGAAGTAACATCAGTAATTGCTCAGATCCAACATAATTGCCCAGCCAAAGGCCAACCTGTACAAGAGATGGCACAGAGGGCCTGAGGACTGCGACACAGCAAGAGACAGCCTGCAGAACATGACTTGGGAGAGACTACAGGATTTTTATTGCATCTTTCCCAGTCACAGATGGTATATACATGCCCGATGTGCAGAGTGTGGGTGCTGACAGAGATTGTTGTAAATATTAGGTTAAAAACTGATGTGTTAAACTCCATTTCTGAAAGTGTCACCTTTGTGTGTTCAGATCAATGTATTTGTCCTAATACACTTATCTAGCATACTAGTGTTTCAATGTGTGCTATACAAGAGAAAAAGAAATCACTGAATATTCAGAGCTGGAAGGGAGCCACAAAGATCAGCAAGTCCAGCTCTTAAGTGAATGGCCCATAGTGGGGATTGAACCCACAGCCTTGGCTTGTTTTTTGTTTTTAGCACCAGGCTCTATCCAACTGAACTAATCTCATGTTCATGAGTTTTGTCATTTCCAACTTTCAAATGGACTAATAGGTTTCATAGGTATCTTAAATTTAGTGAGTATTTTTGTACACAGGATTTCCATTCTTGATTAAAGACAAACATATTTAGAATTAAGCCTGAAAAGAATCAAGTCTCATTACTTGATACTTATGTAGCTGGAGGATTAAATGTGCCTGCAGTAAGATTCCAGTATCTGGAAACTTTAACAGACTAATGATGAGGAACACAACTAACAGTATCCTAATTACTTGCATATTGGTGTAAGCAAGTGCCATTTAAAAATCCTTAAAATCATGTTCTTACTTCACTGTTTGTTTTATCATGCCTATCTGTACCTATAAACCAGGGAGGGAAAAACACATCCTGTTATGATTCCTCATTCATAATTGAGTTTGCTCTCCAGTATAAAATGTAGGTCTTCATGCTGTATGGAAAATCAAGCCCCTTTAACATATTTTTTTGTAGTGCATATGATACAGTAATAAAAAGAACTTTGTCTAGTGCATCCAAAAAAATTTCAGGTCAGTTCTTCCACTTCAAATTTGTGACACTAACTTGTAGGCTAGATAGCATGCAAATTGCTGCAGAAGATGAAAAGATATCAGCATTTGTATGAACATCCTCCATAGTCTGTCACTTATTAAAACCATATCAAACAGCCTTTACCCGCATACTTGGACAACTAATAGATTTTGACTGAAGACCTGCAGAAGTTCCAATACCAGTAACTTTTCCTTGATTAAAGGTATGGCTGCTGCTTGCATATTAGTACATCCACTGTTTTAATAGGTCTAGTTTGCTTACACAAGAGCATCTTGGATCAAAAAAACCAGCTTCTAAGGATGCTTCTGTAACTTTCATTTCTACGCTGGAAATATAAACCACACCTTCCTATTAAGGGATTTCATAAATAAGAAAAGATGTGAAGAAAAAGGAATTAACACCACTATGCCTTCCGGAAAAAATGAGTATTGCCTTAAAACAATGGAGTTAACAGCAGTAAAGAAACCATCTGTTTGTCATTATAAATAACACACTTCTGTTCGTAATTACAAGTACAGTCAGTTTCTTAACTTAAATTCTCATTGTGTTGGAAGTCTAGGCTTGTAAATATTATCATCACACCTTTCTCCCCATTCTCCCATCAGGTACTACCAAAAGGCTCCCATTAAAAACAAAACAATAACAAAAACCCTGGTTTGGCCACAAATGAGTAAAGCAATGGTAATAAGTTCAGTAAGGGCAAGGGCTGTGTAGCATGTTTCAGTGGCCACTTATTTTGTGGTATGTAGACTCAGGCAGAGCATGACCTAGATTTACTCTCCATACACTCCCCATTTACTGCAAAAGCTACCCAGCTAGTGAAAAGCTTTGACAGAGCTTTATGCAAATAGAGTAAAATAAATTACTCATCATGTACTAAGTAGAGGAAGTAGAAAGGCATTTCAAACAGATTCAGTCTGAAAAAGCAATGTAGTGAGACATTCCAAGATTATGCTCTCTATTCTATCTCCATTCTGAAAATGATGGACATTATCAAAAAAGTCAATGGTGGCCCAATTAGTATTGAAAAATATATCTTTTCTGTAAAACATATTAATTCTCTTTTTGTAGGTTCACAGTCTTCTGATGAGTCTTTGAAGTAAGAAAGTCCTATTGCAACAATCATGACCATCTCTGCATCTCTTCATCATGATTGCATTCTCCATCCAATAACCAACTATCAGCACAAACCTGAAAAACATCTACTGTTTCAGGATGCAAAAATATCAACTACTACTCACACAAGGGAAAATTTTGGGGCAATAATATATTTGATTAGTTTCTAATATAATGTAATTATTAATCATTATAATATAATGATATAATAATAACAACATATAATATAGTATAATAATTAACTTCTACAACATAATACTGAGTGACTCCCTCTTCCCTACTTGGACAGGGACGGAAATAGAAGACTTCCTTCCTGTTTTAAGGTTAATACATCACTATCACATAGCAATTACTTTAAAGCTGTAAGCAATCAACATCCAAGCCACTAAATTTATAAAGAATATTTCTGTGGGGAGAAAAAAAGGAGCATAACATCTGAATATAGAAGTACTTACTTCGAATTTGTCTCTTAATTTCCTTCGAAGAATCTAGCCAGTTCTGAAAAAAAAAAGGACAAGCAAACCACAGCCAGCATTTAAAATCCTCAATACCAAAAATAATTTTATATAATCTGTGCAACCTATTAATTAGCTTTTAGCATTTCAGTTACTACCGATATGTGCAAAGGAGACTGTTTTGTGACAGGTCATCCAAAAATTTAATTTTTGGAAGTGAGACTAAGGAATCTGTAACATATATTAATCGGTAACCAGACAATCCTGTTCAGTAGTTTTATCCATAAATGTTAAAATACAGGTTGAGAGACTAGGAACATAAACCTTTTACCTACATTTATTGAGACTTTCCTTCATTGAGTTTGAACCTTCATGTCCCATGGCCAGACACACACACACACACAAGCACATTCATGGAAGAAACACCCATAAAGCCAGCCTGACAGTAGGTCTTGCAACATTTCAAAGACAGGTGTGAAATGCAGGGAAGAGTCAGATACTGCTTTGTGAGGCCAAGGAAAATATCTGCTTTTTCACAGGCCACTGCAGGTACTTGCAGTTTTAAAGTCTGAGGGAATACCAGCACAAATGTTGCCAAAGGCTTATTTCTACCAATGTTTCTCACCTAACTTAGCAAAGCAGAACATCCTGGGTATAATGTGACCCACCTTTTTCAGTCTATGGTATCAAACAAATTCCAGATGCAACACTGTTTCCCAAAACCATATCCCTCAGTCTCTAATAGGGGCTTTTGCACCCAAAATCCATCTTCTTTCAAGAAGACAAAAATGCTAGTCTAGTTTCACAGGTCTATGTGAATTAGGAGAATGTGGAACTGTGTCTCTGCAGTAGTGCAAATCTTTAACACAGATCACCCCTGCTGACAGAGAATGTGTCTCCTATGAATATGGACCAACAGAGCAAGCTGCCTGTTGCAAATGAGCTTGGTCCAAGTAGACTTCTTCACAAGTGCACCATGTATATATTAAATGAATACTATTTACGAATTAAAAGCAAAACCCCTTTTTTATTATTTATTACAATTGTAATGTTTAAAAAAGAATAATAATTTCACATTTCTTGTTTTGTCTGTGATCTCTACTTTCCATAGCTAAGATAATTTTTCCAGAGAAGGCAAAGTCCATAACATTTTTACAAAGGAAGAGTTAGAAAGCACTTCTCCAAAATCCTGGACACCATTTAGAATGCTTAAGTCAGAAAAATTGCTGTCTGTTAGAAGAACCTTGACATGGAAAGGCCTTGGAAGACAACATAAGTCTTAAAATAATTTTAACTGAGACTTGTTGTAGCTGCAATCATCATCCTAGTTTTTCAGTTTTGGCAAGAATTCCATTCTGAAATTACACATATTCTTGCAACTACAATAACTAGAAGTATCTTAAACCCTTACATTTTAGACATAGCATAAAGTAAATAAATAGAGAATATAGCATGGAATAACCACAGCAGAAAAAATAGGATTTCTGAGTACATAATATTTTCAGTGCTTCATCTTTTATCACTACAAAGCGGGAGAAAAGAACATACAATACAGACTATGCCGCAAAATGATAAGAATAATCCCTTCTTTACATAAGTTATAGAGTTAATTTTCTGATTTTTTTTTCCAAGCCTGAAATAAGCTTATTGGAAGCAGACTTAGCCACCAACTTTCATTACTGCTCTGTCAAATAAAATCAGATGTTTATATTCCATTTATAGGCATAATTATAGGGGTGGGGTTTTTTTGCATCTGTGCCTTTTGTCATGGATAAAAACAAACACCACAAAAGAATCTACCCTAAATTAGAGCTCTTAATGCAGAAGAGACAGGTCTGTCTTTCAAAACAAAAGACAAAGTGTATATACACTACTTTCCTCCAGTAGGCAGAAATACATTTGTTTAATTTGTGAAAGGTTATAGATGAGACAAAGTAATGTATTGTCAAAGAACAAAATGTTCTCTACCAGTACAAAAGTATTTTGTACAAATCCAGAAAAGCAGCATTTCCAGCTGGCACCCAAAACATAATAGCAGAAGCTTTCTAACACTTCTGCAGACCAATTACAGTGTGAATGGAGTATTCATGAACTTCTGAGGGTGCAATGCAATGAAATCTCTAAACTTCAGGCTAATAAATTTAACAATTGCAAAAAATGAAAGGAATCATTAATTACTAATTTGGCCCAAATAGTTTTAAAATGTGTATTAAAGCTAACAAAAAAATCAGTCTTATTGGAAGACATAACCTCTTTCCCAGCTGCACAGAACACCCATGGAGAAGAGTTAATGGGACTCCTCCTCCAATGGTACCCCAAGAGTGCATTGGGGAGCAGCTCTGATTCAAAAGAGTGCCTGGCATTCAGTTGCCACACACCACAGCTGCCGTCCGGTTCAACAGCTGGCTCATAAATGGGTGGCTGTGATGAGTGCACAAGAATGGGAAAAACACATCATTCAGCATTTAGTACTGACTGGCCTGGAGGTCAGGGATTTGTGGCATTTTAATCTAAAAAGGCAACAGTCATAACAGGGGAAAAAAAAGCACCAGAAAGAACTGGTAGCAAAATTAAAAAGTAACTCAAACTTAATACAGAGGTGAACAAAAATGAGGGCCCTAAACCCAGAAGAAGTTCTGAAAAAGTAGGAGGTGTGAAACAAATTTTCCAGGTAAGAGGGTTTTTTTAAGTTTCTCCAAATAACACTAGGAATGTATTTGTACAAAAAACACAAAATCCAGCAACTCTGGTTGTTCAGTCTTCGTAACAAAAAGGGCCAGATTTCTCCAGAAGTTTTCTAATAAAAGCCTGCTGCTGTCCATAACTCAGGTGAGAAGTGATCTCTTCTACTTTTGGATAAGGATCCCATTATCAGATATTTCTCACTTAATTCATGCAAATACCTCTTAATTTATGTAAATACTTATGAGTGTTGCTACAGTTCCATGTTCACAGTCAATGGATAAGGAATTCAAGGACTCATTCAAACTGAAAGAGACGGCTGGAATAACCAGTCCACGTGTGATTCAAGAGCCAGTTTTGAATTAAATCAGGTGGCTCAGGTTCACATTCAGTCAAGTTTTAAGTATCTCCAAGGAAAAAGACATATGAAAAAACAGATGGGGTCTTTTTAAAGAGGGGACCTCTGTTTCTCTCTTCAAATGACTGAAAAATACCAAGAAGGTCTAACCAGAGGGGGAAAAAAGGGGGGGGGGGGAAGGGGGGAAAAAAAAAGAGACATAACCCTACACCAATTCAGACTTTTTTGCTGAATGTTCAACCCGAGACTCCCTATTTTACTTCCTGGGATGTACTCAGGTGAGCTATTTTCTATTACAAGTCCAGGATCCCAGGTCTAGTATTAGAACTTTTTTCTCTTGCCAGAGATCAGACTGCTGTTTTATGTTATTTTGTTGTGCATGTACAGTACAGTTTTTCAATAGTGAGAAGCACAAATAAAGCAACAAGCGAAAATAACAGATAATATTAAGATTATGATACTAGAAGATCAACGATGTTCTTCATTGTTACACTGAAGAAGTTCTTATGGCTGGAAATGATTTACAAATCAAGAACAAAAATTAAATATCTAAGTAATAATATAACAAGCTCATTTTATACATGGAGATTTTTAACATAGACCAATTGAGTATTTTGCTCAATACTGCAAAGAAAGTTTTGCAGCAAAGAAAATAACTCTAGAAAACAGCTTTATCAGAATGGAAGTTGTCAGAAATTGAAATTTATTCAGACCATGAAACTACACGTATTAATTTTTTTAAAATAGTGTTAAGGGGAAGATGACAGAAAAAAAGCAAACAAATTTAGATGCAGTATGATATAATGATGCTTCTACTAGAAATATAGATTAAAAAGAAATACAATTTTTCCTGCTTCAATTTGTAATTATTCAACTGGGAGATTTTTTATAAAGAAAAAGATGAGCAAACATATATCTTTAGTTCATGGAGGAAGCAACAGGCAGCCTAGCCCATAACTGTAAATGTTAACGTGTTAGAAAGATAAACTGGGTTTTGGTAATTAATGGAGCACTTGCCACTGACTGACTTAAGATATTCCTCAGCTAAGCAATCTAGACATGCTCAAACATCCAACAAAAAAAGCAAGTGCAAAAGAAGACTGAAGTTATCAAATGGTATTTAAGAAATCCTTTCAAATGCAGTCATCTCAAACGCCAGTCATTTGTAAAATAAGCATCCAATACCAGTGATGGACCAGCTTCAGTCTCTTCACAAATGCCAAAGATTTTCCTAAAACTTAAAATTAATAATAAAGGAACTCAAAGGCCTAGTAGTTACAGACTTACAGGCTAGATTCCCTTCGTGTTCATGAACAAAGCATTCTTACACATCTAAGAGAAAAGGCAGTAGAATTTACTCAAGTGTTTGAAATGGCAAATATTTAATAGTATATACCTCACTGAATTATTGGAGTGATAATGATGAAAAACAAACAAAACCCTCATACAGGCTTACCTTCTGTTCTGAATTCTCATAAAACAACAGCCCAAAATAGTCCTTTTCCAGTAAATTGAGGTGTTCACATACTTTATCAAACAGCACTTGTCCTTTTGCTCTTTTCTGAGGGATGGGAGGGTAGAAAAAGAAGGAAAAAATAAGGAAAAATATGAAAATTTGAGAAAATTAATTTAAGTAAATCGATAAGGTTCTTAATTACAGGTACTGTTACTTGATTATATTATTCAGGAAAATTTAAAATATCCATAAAGCAGATTCCAGAACTATAAGATTTCTTACAAAGACTGTTCACCATATTTCAAAGCTATACATATCCTTGACAAAAATTTGAGAAATTTCAATTTTTTTTTCAATACATCAAAAAAACCCCAAAACAACAACAACATAAGTATACAAGGAAACTTCAGTACCTGAAGGATTTAAATATTTTGCACTATTAAATGTCAACTGGCTTTTCTAGCTCTTTATTTTTAAAATAACAGAAGACTTCTTTGTTTGAGCCAACTTTTCTGTATTATCTTCTAAAAATTAATATTGTTTCTACAATGCTAACTTTAGCATTTTTATCATTTTGGTATACATCTCACTAAGCTATGAATGACATGATACGAATGCACTGAAAAATAAAGGTGTTATCTTCAAAAGACAAAAGTAACAAGCAGACCACTAAGAGCTGATGCTCAGACCAGCAGAAACAGCATGCAAGCAGAAGCTGAATATGTGCAATATGTCTAGTTCTCTATACTGCAGTGGTTTGTTTTGAGGGGCAGAAAATAAGATGGCTGCTTCCTATCTGTGTATTTCTGAAATCTCAGTACCCAACAAATTCATTAAATGCTCAAAAATAAGAAATCTTCAAGAAGTTTTTTTTCCTAAAAATATTATTTGTGCAAGTCAGTAACAAAGGGAGAAAAAAGGGCGGTTTTATTTGAGGTTAGTTTTATTACCATAGTCTGCTGCTTTATAAAAACAGTAATTGAAGATTGATCATCATTTTAACATACTCTTAAAAAGCATTTCAAAATGGCCACTTTCAAGCTCACTTGCTGAGCTCAGTATTACTAGAGCTTAAGCAAATGGCAGTCAGTCTTGAAGTTTAATCTGTTCTTCTTTATCTTTTCTTCTTTCCAGCAGCCTTCCAGTATCTAAAGGGGGCTTAAGAGAGAAGGGAAGGAAAAGGGCATGTAGTGACAGGACAAGGGGTAATGGCTTTAAAGAGAGTAGGTGCAGATTAGATATTAGGAAGAAATCCTTTACTGTGATGGTGGTGAGGCACTGGAATAGTGAAATTGTGGATGTCACATCCCTGGAAATGTTCAAGGCCAGGTTGGATGGGGCTCTGAGCAGCCTGCTCTGGTGAAAGGTGTCTCAGCCTAAGTAGAGGGTTTAAAAACTAGAAGATCTTTAAGGTACCACCCAACCCAAACCATTCTATTGTTCTGTACCATTCTATGATTCTTGTACCTGAAACTGGGGATGTGAACATCCCATATGTCTGTAGTGCCAGTAATGAAAAGCAGGTCCAGGCTCTACTTCTGTGCACCAGGTTTTAAGGAAAATCTCTGTCTCCTGCTGACAGGAGACAAAGATTTCGAGCAGACTGCTCAGACCACATGCTCAGGGGTAGGAAGATGAGAAGTTCGTTCCACAATTCCAATCTGACCATGACTGGCATGCAGCCTCCAGTCTGAACAACTCCTTCAGGACAGCTCTGCTATTTGTGGCATTTATCATAGAGGCCACAACATGGCCTTTTCAGAGGCCTGCCAGCTTATAGGAATTTTTGCATTTGCTTATCCTACAGATTTCAGCAGCTGCCACACAGCAGTGCCATTCCACAGCAGCGCCATGGGCAGCCCCTGTGTAGGCCCGGGGGACACTGTGGCCATTGTCCCCGCAGACAGTGGCAGGGAGCTCCACGTGCCCCATTCCGGCACTCCCGCAGCTCGGCTCCGCGCTAAAGGCCACGAGCGGAGGGAGAGGGGAGAAAAGAAGGTATGCACTGAGCAAAGAGTGAAGGCATTGTTGATTTATTCCCCAAGAATCCAGAGCTTGATTCAAAATTGCATTGTCCAGCAGACATTCTACTCAGGAAGATCAGAAAGCTTTCACAGAAGCAAAATTATAAAATGACCACATTTAGTAGCAAGGCAGTGGCAAGTAGAAGTCAGGGTGACTTCTAAATGGGGAGCAGGGAATTTTAAGTCTGTTTGGTACTTTCAAAAAATCTTACTCCCCAAGAAAGATGACTGCTTCCTCTCGGCATCTGAAGTAACCACTTAATTTTCTTGACAGCTTCACCTTCAGCTTAGTAAGAAAAATCACCAATATAGAAAAGCAGCAAATTGAAAGCAGAAAAAATATAAGCAAGAGAGAGTTCAAAGAATCTCAGATGCATGCAATAGATACCATTTTCCAAAGTCAATGTTCAGGTCAGTGATCATACTTTGGAAATGCAAGTTTCAGTTATAAAAATTTCAGTGCAGGAAATCTATAGATTAGTGTAAAATAATATATGCTATCATATCAAACCCACATCTGCTGGAATCAGCTGTTTTTTTATGAAGTTTATATACCAAAACCCACAGTTAATATCAAGCCTTTGACATATAGAAACATAAAGCAGGCAAATCTACAGGAAATATATTGCAAGTATAACTGTAAAATATTGCAGTTTCTTATTAGGAAGTCATAATCACCAAGACCTTCGATATACTAGCAGCGTCCACTGTATCTTTCAATATTTTTTTTTCAGTTCATTGTTCTTCCACATAAGGAAAAACACCACCATGTCACAAAGCCCAAGTTTGTGAGTCTACATTCTAGACAGCAGCAAAATGATAAGACATTATACCATCAGCAACTAGTATTTATAGAGATCTGTAATGGATTCAAAGGCACAAGAAATCTCTCAGTACCAGTGATGGTTTTCATTATAAGATCCTACTTGTAAAAATTAATGACTCTGAGTTATTAAGTTTTATATATTTAAATCGATAAATATATATATATATATATATAAAATGAATAACTCAATATATAATATATAACGTTATGTATATATATATATATTTAATTTTTTTTTAATCTAAAAGGGTATTTAATTTTTCAAACTTTTCAAGTGTAATTTCTTTGTAAACCATTATTTGGGGACAGGCATTATTACACAGTTTAAATTATATGATAACGTAACTTTTGTGGGAAAACTCATATTCCTAGTAGAATATCTCTAAACATGAACTGAAGATAACTGTTGTGATCCAGTCAGTTCAGAAGTTAGAAATATTTTAATAGAGCAGGGCACTCTTAAGAAGCATCATGGTTTACACAGTTTGTTACTTTTTACAATGGATTCCATTTCATTTTCTACCAGGCGTTTGAAATGTCAAGTGATAGTCACAACCAATGTGTAAATTACAATCACTATTCCTATTACATGTATGTATATATATATATTTATGCATCCGTATATACACATATGTGTTTATAGCACAACAAATGCTAGCACTGAAAACAAGTAAATATTCAAGTTCCAAATTATAATGCAGAAATATCAGTAAAAGTGCAAGTCCATCCTTGCTCCCACAAGAAGGGGAGCACATTCAGCCTAGCTATACCAAGAGGCTGAGAAGTGAGATGCTCACAGAGCCAACAGTTTAAAACACTAGAGTACTCAGATCAGCAGTATTCTGCATTCCTGCCAAGTTATGCTTTCATTTAAGTGAGAACATAAAAAGAACACATATAACCAAGGTTATTCTAGTACCAATTTCAAGCTTGTATTTAGACACCACAGATGCCACCTCATAATGCAACTACCTCATAAAACCAGAGGTAGCATTTTTCTGTCCTTCACCTCCTTCTCAATAAAAAGAGCAAACCAGAGCAAAGCAACTGCAGCTGACATACACAATGGAAATGTCTATGCAACTGGGAATTAGGATATCATGGATCTGTTTAGCTATATAAGAGTTGCCAACTACTGATGCAATATAAACATTCACAGCTACAGTTCTGTTCAATACATTTATCTATGATAGGGATGCAGGAGTTGAATGCACCATTAACAAGTTTGCTGATGATACTCAAGTGGGAGGTGCTACTGACTCTCTTAAGGGACGAGAAACCCTACAGAGCAATGTGGATAGATCAGAGCATTGGGTAATCAGTGGCATGAAATTTAGCAAATGCCAGATTCTGTACCTGGGACAGAGTAATGCTGGGCAAAAGTATAAACTGGGAGAGGAGTGGCTGGAGACCAGTCCTGCAGAAATGGATCTGGGAGAGCCAGTTAGCAGCAGCTCAGTGTGAGCCAGCAGGGAGAGTCCAGGCAGCCAGGAGGGCAAATCCCATCCTGGGGTACAGCAAACCCTGTGTTCAACCATGCAGACGAAAGAGGTGATTATCTGCTGCACTCAGCTTTGGCATGGCCACACCTCGAGTACTGTGAGCAGTTCTGGGGCCCACAAATTAAGAATGACATGAAGGTCCCTGAATATGTCCAGAAGGCAACAATAAAGCTGGGGAAAGGGCTGGAAGGAATGTCCTAAGAGGACTGGCTTAGGACTTTGGGCTTGTCTGGGTTAGAGAAGAGGAGGCTGAGGGGTGGCCTCATTGCTCCCAACAGCTTCCTGAGGAAGCTGAAGAAGCAGGTGCTGAGCTCTTCTCCCTCAGATCAGTGATGTGGGAACAGTTCAAAGATGCACTATGGAAGGTTTAGAGGTCACATTAGGAAGCATTTCTTTACTGCAAGGGTGATCAACCAGTGTAATAGCTTCCTAGGAGGTGGCTGATGCCCCAAGCACGTCAGTGTTTAAAGGTCATTTGGACATGACTTTTAGGTCAGCCCTTGTGACATGGGTGCTTCCTTACCCTTAAAGGGTTGGTCATCTGGCAGCTGAACTCGATGACCTTTGGAGGTCCTTACCACCTGAAACAGTCTATCCTATTCTTACTCCTGCCTTCTTTCTCTGGCAGTACATGCAGAGGAAAATCTCAACATTTCTCACAGCCCTGCACTAGCAGAAAGGCTTGAATAGGTAATTATGTCCCAGCCTAGGCACTGAATGTCCCTATGTGGGAAGGAGGCATGCACCCTCTGA